ATTTAAAAATATATAAAAACTAATAAAAATATATAATTCGATTTGATTTTTTTTTATTTTTTATATCTTAATTTGAAATCTAATCCAAATTTAACACATACATTTAATATCTAATCTTAAGTTAAACAGAATAAAAATAATTAATTCAAACTGAATTAAATATTATATTTATTTTATGTAAAATATTAAAATTTATATATTTATATTATAATTTATATAAAAAATTATATGTTATAATTTATATCAAAATAAAAATATAAAATATATTATTTTAATTTTATTAAATATATATACTTATTATTAAAATTTTAAATTATATTATTTTTATATTTTATATTTATATCATATTTTAGATTATCGAATTTATTATTTTGTAAGCATTTAACTTTTGGGCATGGAAGAGTAATGAAGTTATGAATGGTGTGTATCTATTTTATGTTTGAAAAGGACTTGACTGATGATAAAAATGGGAGGTGAGCTGAAGCCTAATGCGTGACAGGAGAATATAAGGATTGATAGCTTCGAATTTTAAAACCCTTTGGTCCCCAAAACATAAAGGGCTTATTGAGCTATTGTCCCTTTCATTTGCTTTGTTTGGTCACAATTATTGATTTTGAAAGCAAAAAGATGAATTTAAAAGTTGAAAATCAAATGTCAAAAATCAACATAAATTAAAGGTCTATTTAAATGGACAATAAAATTAATTTGTGTAAGATTACAAAAATAAAATAAAATTTTTTATTTTTGTCGATGAAATTAATTATTATAAAATTAATATTAAAATTAATAATATAAATATATATTTAAATACAAATGAAATAATGATAAAATTGAATATAAAAGTTAACGTTTTACCCAAAAAAATCTATTTTTCTAAGATCAAATGAATCTCTTGTAGTTGGAGGCATAAACCTCCCTTGAATTTCTTTCGAAAGTAGATGAAATATAAATGAGAGCTAAATATTTGCATAATAAAGTTGATTTTAGTGATGGAAATAGATTGTGTCGGGATAGATTTTTGTTTATTTTGATTTTAATTTAATTTCATAAAATATATATTCAATTTTGATCTAATTTGATATTAAAATATTATTTTTATATTTGATTCAACTAGTATCTATATAAAATCATAATTAATTTGATCCAAAATTAATTTAATAATTTTAATTCAATATAGTACTTATAAAATATTATTTTTTAATATAAATTATATCTTAATTATATATAAATAAAATATTTTTATTAAATTAATATGTTGTTAAGAATGATATCAGATCAGATCGGACTGAATTCAGTTTGATTTTTTCAAATAATGCATAATATTATAAATTTTTAAGTTCAATCAGAATTTGAATCAATTTTTTTTAAATCAATTTGATTTAAATTGAATTCTACTTGTTGAGTTCGATTAGTTTGATTCATTGATTTTAAATTTTAAAATTTGTTTTATATACTATTTTAATATATTTAAATAGATTTATAATAAAATAAATATTTTTATTTTATAAAAATTAATAAAAATATATAATTTAATTTGATTCAGTTTTTTTTTTATATATCTCAATTCGAAATTTGATCCAAATTTAATATATATATTTAATATATGAGTTTGATCTGAATGAATGACAAAAAATAATTTAAAATAAATCAAATATTATAATTTCAAATAATTTTTTATTTTTTCAAATTTTTTTCTGACCGTGTTTGTCGCTCAAAGAACTCATTCCTAGCTAGCTTTTGAGAAACTGATGCGGATTCGGGCCTTGACTTTTGAGTGAGTCATGACCTGAGCAATAGATAGAACAGTGAATTGGCCTCAAACTCCACCAAGTGGAGGCCCAATACTTGCTCTAATAGAACACCAACGTTATCTACTGAAGCTCAATGAAAAAATACATCGAGTTTGATTCGGGATTAGAATAGCAGAGTAGATTCAAGGCCCAGAGTCAGTTGCCTTCCAATTATCTTTGCTTCTTGGCTTTTTCCGTTTTCCATTTTGTGGATGCGAAAATTCATATCATATAAAATATTAAAATATATATTTATATTAAATTTTATATAAAAACTATATATTATAATTTATATTAATATAAAAAATAAAATATATAAATTTAATTTTATTAAATTTATATAATTATTATTAAAATTTTAAATTATATTTTTTTATATCTTATATTTAATTATATCTATATCGTATCATTATATTATATTTTAAATTATCGTATTTAATATTTTGTATGGTTAACTTTTGGGCATAAAAGAATAATGAAGTTGTTAATGGTGTGTCTCTATTTTATGTTTGAAATGGACTTGACTGGTGATAGAAATCAGAGGTGAGGTGAAGCCTAATGCGTGACAGGAGAGTATAAGGATTGACAGCTTCGAATGTTAAATCCCTTTGGTCCCCAAAACATAAAAGGCTTAGTATTGACCCATTGTCCCTTTCATTTGCTTTGTTTGGTCACAGTTGCTGATTTTGAAAGCAAAAAATGAATTTAAAAGTTGAAAATGAAGTGTCAAAAATCAACATAAATTGAAGATCTATTTAAATGGACAATTAAATTAATTTGTGTGGGATTAAAAATAATAATGACAATAAAATTTTTTATTTTTAACGATGAGATTAATTGTTATAAAAATAAGATTGAAATCAATAATATAAATATATATTTATTTAAATACAAATGAAATAATGATAAAATTGGATATAAAAATCAACTTTTTACCAAAAAAAATCCATTGTTCTAAGATCAAATGAATCGTTTGTAGTTGAAGGCAAAATCCTCCCTTGAATTTCTTTCGAAAGTAGATGAAATCTAAATGAGAGCTAAATATTTGCATAATAAGATTGATTTTAATGGATGTCAATGGATTGCGTTAGAACGAAAAACATCATAAAATATATATTTGATTTTGATTGGATTTGATATTAAAATATTATTTATACATTCAATCTAATTCACATATATATATATGAAATTATAATTGATTCAATTCAAAATTAATTTAGTAATTTTAATTTAATATAATATTTATAAAATATTATTTTTAATAAAAATTACATTTTAATTATATATAAATATAATATTTTTATTAAGTTAATATCTTAAATTAAAAATATAATAATAGTTTTATTAATATAATACATATATAAATATAAAATTAAATAAATAACATATATATATTGAGTTTGGTCAAAACGAAATTACTTAAAACTCGATTTTGATTTTTTTTTTTAAGTTCAATCCGATCCAAAATCTAATTAAAAAAATCAATCTTAAAAAATCAAATCAAATCAAAACCTAACAAATTTGAGTATATTTATCATCCATAGGGTCTATTTAGATAAACGATGAGATTAATTTTAGTGAAATTAAAAATAGTAGTGAGATATATGTCTGGATACAAAAACGACGATGGTGATGAGATAAATTATAGTAAAAAAAATGATCATTAAGAATATTAGATTAAAAATTACATGTAATATAAATTTTAAATTAGTTAATATTTATAAAATTAATAAATTATTTTAAAAAGTTATTAAATTATTTTTATATCAAATAATATTTTTGTTAATAAATAATTAAAATATATTTAATGTTTTTATATAATAAATTTATTAATTTATTATATAATAGTAAATTTTATTTTTATATTAAATTATTAAAAATTACTTTGCAATTTTTAAATTATTTATATGTTAAATAATAATTTTATTAATAAATAATATTTTATCTAGAAAGAAATTATTTCCTAACTTTTAAATAAAAATAAAATAAAATAAAACAAAAAACAAAAAGAAGGGTTACAAATGAAAATACTTAAGAACTAAACTCCACAATTTTTCATTGGACCCGTAAAGGTCCAGTGTACATTTTGATTCCATTGCAACTGCGGTGTGGTGCATTAGAACTAATTATATCAATAATTAAATTTAAATGTTAATTTTAGTATGATTTATTTAATATAAATATTTTTATAAAATTTTTTAATTATAATTATAGTAAAATGTTTTCAATCATAATTATAATTATAATAATTATTTTTTTAATTTTATTAAAATTAATTTCACTATCCATTTAAATAAATTCTTATTCTTAGTGTGTAACTGGTACAGCAGTGCGAAGAAGCATTGAAAAATTGCCATCCAAATGCAATAATAATGCAATTTGTGGCTCTAATCGTGCCTAATTGAAACTGCTTCAAATTCAAATGAAGCTCTGATTGGTTTTTCAGATATCATTGTCGTATTTAAAAATGTAAATGATATATTATTATTTATAAATTATTTAAATTTAATTTAAATAAAATTTAAATTTGATTTCATTATTATCGAATCGAGTTCAAGTTCGAATAATTTGATTTATCTATTGAATCAAATTTAATTATTCTTATATTCAACTCGAGTTACTCACAAATTTATAAAATTTTTATATTTTAATATATTTTAATTATTAAAATATTTTAAATTCAAATTTAAATTCAAACACAAATAATTAAATTTTTATAAAATATAAGAATCAATTTTATTTTTATATATTAATTGAGTGAGCTCAAATAATTTAATTTTTATCCCGAGCTCAAATTAAAAATAATTTAATTAAATTCAAATTAAAATTTAAATCTCAAATTTAAAATCAAATTAAAATTCAAACTTAATATTATTCCAATTCAAATTATGTCAATTACATTTCTAACCGTACCTATGCAAACAAAGAATAAAATCGTAAAACTCGCCTGTCCATCGACTGCTTAAAAAGAAAAAAAGAACACAACTAAATTCTAATACTAATTCCCATTGGCTTACATATCAGCTAATGGTATACGTTAAACCGTTCCATAATTCAAATTCCCCACGAAATATCGATCTGTACGCCAATGTTCGCATTTTTTCAAAAACGCTCCTCCTTGAGCTGTATTCACTCTGTCACTAATTCAACCCCCATTTCCTCTTTTTTTTTTTTTTTACGTTTTAGATTTTCCGATTCAAAATTAAATGCCCCAAATGATTACCTCTCTAAATCCCTAATAAATTCCATGTTCGAACACTCCTCCTATATTAATTTCATCCAACCTTATATTTTTTTTCAATGGCAACTTCAGCTCTCAAGTCAACGACCAAGAGAACTTCGGTCGCCAACTCACCAGGTGACTCTTCTTCCTCCAATCGGTCCTCCGTCCACCGTCGCGCCAGGAGTCTCAGCAGATTCTCTCGCCGGCTTCCCGGGGCTGACCACGACAATGATGAGCCTACTCCGGCTCCGAGAAGCAGGGGGAGGTTCGTCAATACCGTCAGGGGATCGGGGTTCCCGGAGATTAGTCTCGACGATCTCACCATCGAGCTCTTTGGCTCCTCCCTCAGGGGACGCTCTGCTTCCCGGAATGGTGGCGTCATCCCCCGTAATGGTGAAGGAGGAAAAGGAGTAGGAGAGAGTCTGACTCAGAGAAGAGGACGGTCAGTGTCCAGGCAAGGATCTAGGGGTAGTTTTGTAAACAGTGGTGGTGGAGGAAGGTTAACTTCGGACACTGCTAACTCCAGTAGGAGAAGATCGGTCTCGGCTGTTCGGTATCAAATCAGCGATTCCGAGGTAATATTGTTATCATCATCTTCTTCATTACTATTGTTTTTATTCTTACGCGCGAATAGGGGTGTAATCAAGCTGCTGGAAGCTGATCAAGTTTTAAATATCAAGTTTGAGCTCCAGAGATAAAAATTGAGTTCACTTGATTAGACTTGTATATCAAATAAAGAAATGAGCTGATTCCCATACTCGATTTCAAGCTCAATTATTTATATACAAACTCAAGCTCAAGCTTGAATTCATATATATATATATATATATATATATATATGTGTGTGTGTGTGTGTGTGTATATATATATATATATATATATATATGTATGTATGTATGTATGTATAAGTAAAACAGTAATTTTTAATAAAATAATTAAAATATATATTAAAATATAAAAGCTCGATTAGATTTATGAGTTACTCGAGTTGGATATTAAGAAGCTCGAACTTGACTTACTCGATAAGCCGAATTTCTCAACTCAATAATGATAGAGTTGAATTCCAGTTTTATCTAAGTCAAGCCTAAATAACTTGCGAGCATTAATATATCATTTACACCTTATGTGCGAACTCATTATTTAGAAGAATTCTTTAGTCATATTAGAATGTTTGGTCGTGTAAATGCTTAGTGGTCTAGTCTTGTTGTATAAATTTGGACGTTGTAACGAGACATCATCCAGCGACTGGACTTCGCTATCCGCCTGCTTGTTTTGCTTAACTTGGACTCAAATATCAATTTATGCGGACAAGCCAAGTAAAAACTTTTCTCATCTAGAGCATGCACTTGTAACATCTCCTTAATGGCATTTCTTGGTTGAAGTTTAAATACATTGGCGAAAATGAGAATAATGTGGGATTATTTTGTAAGGACTTCTGGCTTCATTTTTAAGTATTCAATAACTATCAAACTCTTTGTGGTATTGTAAGTGTCCTTGCCAAGTTTATGTTCCGGAACTATAAGTTTAAGTTCATTCATTGGCATTTGTTTTCTGGATTTTTATGATTTAGATGACTAATCAATTTCCTTTACTTAAATAGTAGATAATCTTTTATCTGCCTGGGTAGTTTTGCTTTGCATTTGAAGAAAGTAAATGAGGACCTTTGGAAGTTTTGCACGATTAGTCAAATATGTTTATTTTCTTTTACCTATATTAAAGATGAAGTATCATTGATGATAGATAGTAATTACTACTGCAATTGATCAACTTGAATGGTATGTTTGGCTTTAATTAAACCTGTTGTTTTTTCATCATACTAAGAAAAATAATCAAAACACTAATTTGTTGATTTGCATAAATTCCTTGTTCCTAAATATGGCAGAGTGATCTAGATCTTTCACAGAACTCAAGCAATCGTGCTAGTATGAGAAGTTCCATTGGTGGAAACAATCAGATATCCTCCACTCATAACCCAACAGCTTCAAATAATAGACAAGGCCTGAGAAAGTCTCTCAGCCAAAAGGACTTAAAGTCTCATGATGACTACTCTGTAAGCATTATCTATCTCCTGGAAAATTATAGTTCTAACTTTTATTATCACCACTTAGTTAGTGGAATTTTTATATAAGGATGCTATTTAGTGGTTGGGTTAATCCTCACTATACCTGGATATCTGTTAGCATCTTTCAAACTCATTTTTGTCAAATTTGTTTCATAAGCTTAATGAAATTTATACATGTATGGAATCAGAGCCACTCTGCTGCTTTAACTGATGATGAAGGGAGGGATGCTGTTTTTGATAAAAATGGAATGGAGAGGACAATACGAACGGTTTATGCGCAGAAAAAGGTTAGTTTTCTCTTTTAAAAGTTCAAAATTATATAATAACCACTGGGAAGATGTTTAGCTAAATCTGTCACTTTTACCCATTAGGGAGAGCATCCAATTGTGGATGATGTGAATGGTGGGTTGTATGCCGCAATGCGAAAAGAGCTTAGACATGCTGTGGAAGAGATCAAGACACAACTTTAACAAGTTTGTAATTCTATGTTCTGTCAACATGCTTAATGCTTTATTTTCTCCTACATGAGCAGAATTTGCTTCATAAATTTTGACCACTAAACTTGTTGGATGGCCTTATGGTTTATGCAGTCAATGGTGAAAACAAATTCCGGCATAGCAAGTGATGATCGTTTGCAGCCTGTCAATTTTGATGCTATCCAGGCTGTTTCTACAATTAGAAGAAAGTACACAACAAAATTGGAAAAGGTGTAATATCATATCATAACCATTCTATGGTGCAATACTTACCATTTAAGTAATGATTATGGTTACTGGTATGGCACATTTGGAAAGTCTTTGAATGAACTAATAAATACTTTTAATCCTTTTCTTTCTGTTTTCTCTATGTGCAGCAGGATTGCTAGTTGCGTGTGCATGTGGCCTCTTTAGTCTTAAACTATTTATACAGTGCACTTTGCAGAATTTTGTTGTTGTTGTTGAAGATTTATTGGTTTGGTTTGACTTAATACGTTCATTCATGATAATCCTGAACTGATGTTTCTTCTAGTTTTTTGCTTTATATTGGGAACCAAAAATAAGCTCACATTTAAGTTGCTTTTGATGAAAAAAGATAACTCTCTGTAGTACTTTTCATGCTAATTAAGTTATTAACATGGTTTTGGGTTTATGCTTAATGAGCTGATGATTGTTAATCTACATTAATTGCTTTGATGCTATTTATTTCCCTAATTGATGCCTCATGTTTTGATTTGATAGTCAGAGAAGCATAGTCAAGATTTAGCTGAGATTATGTTGGAGGAGCAGCATGGGAGAGAGCTCTCTAAAATTGTCAAAGAATTTCTTCCTGAACCAAAGAACCCTATTTTTCAGAAACCTTTGCGAGCTACAAAGGTACAACTTCCTTTACACTCACTGCAATAATGCTGGACTTTGTACCCTCTTCGGTTATTTTCAAGTCCTCGCCTTTTATTTTTGTTAAAATCCATTATATTCTTATGTTCTTTGATGTAAGAAAGGTGACTGATATTTCTTTTGATTGTTTAACCAATTTATACGAATTGCTTCCCAGAGAAGCAATGACAGAAATAGCATGTCCAGGCAATTGACCGAGGAGGCTGAAAAATATATTGAAGATTTCATCTCGAACGTTGAAGATACAGATATTTCATCATTTGATGGAGACAGGAGTGATACTAGTTCAAGTATAGGGGGAATAACAAAGACACCAACTTTCCAGAGTCGACCAGTATTTAAATCTGTCCCTGTTGAAATGGATGGTGTAATGCTACCTTGGTTACAGTGGGAGACTTCTAATGATGCATCTCCATTATCGCACCAGAGTAAATGCAATCTTTCTCAGGTAATCTACCTGCTAATCGCGATGTTTGCTTCCTATTTCTTAGTCATTAACGTACGTAAAGTTTGCTGATTATGTAATGTTGAACTCATCTCTATTGACAATAGGAAGCACCCTCTGCGCTAGACCTAAGCAATCAATTTACCAGGAGCCGAGAGAGTTGGAGCCCAGCTTTGGCTGGTTGTCCTTCAGTAAGTACTGGAGAAGTTACAGGAACTAAATTTGGAGAATCTGGAAGTTATCAAAGCCATTTTTCTTCAAGTGGAACCAATAAGATGCAGTTCGATGTAGCTGATTATCTCAACGACAACAGCAACGAAGCTTTTCACCTTGAAATATGGAGCCAACGACATAGAATTAGTTCAGGTGGTCTTCTGCTTTGTAACCGGATGTTCGTTTAAGCTATGCTTGGTAAGAAGAACGAGAAGTGATGATAATGAAAAATTTATTAATTTAATAATTGAATTACAAAATAAGAAAATGGTTATAAATTTTAAATATTAGATTAACATGTTTTTTATTCTTATCCTTTTCCATCTTTTTTATCAGACAAAGCCTTAGATTCTAAAAAATATTCTTTTTTTCTTATCATTTTTATATAAATTATCAATAATTAAAAAATATATAAAAAATTTTAATTTAACATTATGTAATTTTATCACTTTATAATTTGACAAACTATAAAATTATCGAATAAGATGTGTTTATGTAAATAATTTATTTTCATAAGATAGCTAAAATTATGTAATATATAATATAACTATAAAGTTACTTGATATGGTGTGCCAATGAGGGTGGGCAGGTGATAATCTTTTTTTTTATATGTAAGGTGGTTAAAATTATGTAATTTATAAAATTTAAATAAAAGATAATATTTAAATTGAAAATTTTTAAAATTATGAAAATTTCTAAAGTTGGTGAAATAAAAGATCAAATCTTTTTAAATTATTAATTTAAAAATTATTTCCATTAAATTTAATTTGTTTTTCAATATTTTCATATTGAAAATCAATTTCCCCCATGACTCTTGAGATCAAAAGCCTAAAAACTTAAAAGTCAACAGGTTGAAAGTCATTGAAGAAGATCTATGACAGCAAACGGCAAAAACATCAGAACCGGTGCCTATTCTTTCGTAATTAAACAGATCGGCTTTTTAGTAAGCTTTCGATTTTAAATTTTGTAAATGAAAAAATTAAAAAAATTATTTATTTATAAAATTAATTTAGTTTGATTTTAAATTAATCGAAATTCAAATTATTATCATACACGGAAGGCCTAGAAAAAAAAATGAAAACCTTTTTACTTTATCCTCTCTCGTCTTTCCCATTTTCAATCCCATCGTTTTGTGGTTGCTTTGGGTGCTATTGTTTTCATGTGGGCTAATTAGTAAAATGTTTTGTATTATACATTTTTTATCAATTTAATATTTAAAAATAATAAAATTTTTGTTTTAATATTTCAAATTTTATTTTATTAAATATTTTAATACTTCACACTATTAATATCTATTAAGTGATTGATATGATATAAATATCTAATAATGTCATCTCAACTATTATTTTCCTAATAAATTTTTTTTCTAATTTTTCCCTTTTTGGTTTTATTTTTTAATTTTTTTTAAAATTTTAAATAAAAATATTTATTTTTATATTTTTAATTTTTATTTAAATATTAACGTAAAAATAAATAATATGATGATGACTGGTTTTTAAATACTAAAACCTTCTTATAGGCTTAAAAGAATTAAAGAAATGCGGATTAGCGAGAATGAATGGTACCGGAAGCAGTTTGAGACAGAAGGGGACGTTGTGGGCAGGGCCATTGGCGTTGAGACACGTGCCTCCTCGAGATTGGCCGCCGAGACAATGGGAATTGGATAGAGAAGTGCTGGAGTTTATGAGGGAAGCGCATAGTTTACAAACGGTGAGAGTGGATTTGGAGAAACTGGAGAAGGAGATGATAAATGGTGAATCAGATATGGGTTTAGTGAGATACAGTGTTTCTTAAGCAATATAAAGAATGGGTTGATGATAGTAAGTATAGATTGGAAGACGAGTCTTATAAGCAGGCATTTAAGTAAATTAGTATTCTAAATCTTAGAAGTAGATGAGGTAATTTGTATGTTTGTTCATTATTATAAAACATTTATAATTTATGTATTATTATTATATTTTATATAAAAATTACGTTTCGACATAAAAATATGTAATATATAATTTTGTTTTGATAAATTTATTTATAATTTTTATTAAAATTTTAAATTATATTATTTTTATATTTTTTATTTATATTATTTTTATGTTATGTTATCGTATTATATTTATTAATTGACATTTGATGCTTTTAAAGCGTGTGAAGTTGATCATGAATTTTGATGGAAATGAATTCTGCTGATTAGCGGAGGAACAATTTTAACTTGAGAACTTGGCTGACATTTTTCTGTAGCATCCAAGGGAGACATGCTAATGAGTTTCTGTGCTGGGTTTTTTAATTTGGATTTAAGGATTCGAAAACCATCGAGGTGTTGTCCCCACGATGATTAGAAGAACAGAATGTGAAAGAAATTGAATATTGTTGATGATGTTTTTGGATGTCTTAGCTAAAATGAAAAAAGCGAGGTTGAAGGGAAAGATAACTATGATCTGTAGCTAAAAAAAACACGATCAGGGATGCTAAAGTTATTATTTTAGGGTGCGCTTTTAATACTTAAGTTAGTAAGATATTAAGATTGACTTAGGAAGCAAGGAAGATGCAGACGGTGAAGTGTACGAGATAAGTTTTCAAAGAGAAAAGTCAAAGAAAATTAGGTCTAATTTTGTGTTATATTGAATATTTGGTTTCTTAATTACTTTTTACGTGAGATTAAGGTGATAATTTGATTGAGATAGTTAATAATTGATAAGATATTTGTGTGAAAATTCAAAAGGATAACGTGAATAGATGAGAATTATATTTAATGATCTTAAATAAGTATGGACTGTATTTAATGATTTCAAATAAATAAAATTTTAGTTAGTTAAATATGAAGTATTGTCTTGACAAGTTATTGATAGGGTCTTAAGCGAATTCTTCATTTGGTGAAAGGCAATCTTCATAGAGAGGTGACGTGATTGTTTAGGCATGTTTCATCTGAACAATTCAAAAATTTAACTGGATTGATCAAGTTTTGACGTTGACCAATTGATTTATGTGTAACAAGTATATATTTATTTTTTTTGTGGTGTCAACGTGGTAGAAAATCTTTGATTTTCCTTAACTTCAACATGTTCTATCCTAATTTGTTTGGCGTTTAGTCTTTTTCAGGATTATGGATGCACATTTTATAGATGTATTCCTTGTTACATAAGTTCTTTGATTTCCTCTAGATTGTTCAACAGGAAGCAGACATGTGGATGCTCAGTCCTCTATTGTTGGTTTTGCTGTCTAGTTTGTTTGTTGAAGGGTGGGGAATACACCTTCTATTCTACCATCCTGAAGCTGGTTGTTCTGGTTATTTAATTAAAATATGATTTCAAAAGTTAATGCAACTGAGATATTTAGTTTCTCCTAGTGATTTTGCTTACAGATTGTTCTATTCATTATTTTGAATTTCAAATTTCTACCATGATTATGCTTTAATTTCTTTTTGTTCCCTTTGCAGTGTGATTGTAGAAGACCTCCTGTTCCTAGAAAAGATCCAGCAGCGAAACCAGAAGAGGAGCCATTGTTGGCAAATCACCCTTATGTTGATAAGGTAATTTGCAGCAATATCTTTGTCGATAATTGGTAATTTAGATATGAATGCATCTTCTTTCCTCTTTTTGGTAGGACTCAAACTTAATTTTGGTAGCAATGGGCTAAATCTCTGGCTAATATGCTGCTTCCCAATAGTTTGTTCATACATGTGCATCAGTGTATGCCATGGATGGGGGCATTCCAAGAGCTGACGCACTTTCTGGTGACTATTTGTAAATAGCCTTGTTAACAATGGTTGTTCCTTGGCTGACCACTTCCTCTGTAAACAGAAAATGATAATTCCTTTCACTAGATCCATTTTTGTCTGTTATGCAGCTGTGGCAGATTTGCTGAGCAAATGGTTTTCGATGATTTGGAGGCAAATCCCGAGAAATACAAAGGTTAAAAGTTGTCAGAATTAACTGATGACAAGGATTATGATGAAGAAAACAATGTTCAATACACCAAAACATACTAGAGGAAAAGCCTACTACCAAAAATGATTCTGGTGAGCCTTTTTTTTGTCATTTTGATACTCACTAAGCTATCTGCCTATATCTACCTGCTAATGGTTATATGTCTTGACAGAAAACAAGTGTTTGAGAAGTTGATTTGGAAGCTGGCTTAGCTGGCCGTGAGGTAATTATTCCTTGCCTGTTTGCAACCTCTATTCTTGATCTTTTTTGAAGTTTTGCTCTAATCTTAACAGAAATTTCTTTTTACCACCTAAGACTTGGTAGTTTATGTGAAAGGTGGACAGTCTTCTGTTCTTAAATATATCTATGAACAAGGCATATTGGGTTCATGAAAAAGTTGTGTTGACAACTCCAAGTCCGATGTCCGTTTCCTTCTGGTTCATTCTGCATTGCCTCGTATTTACCATTATCTAGGCCTGCCAGGCTGTGTGCAAAAGCATGTCTATGCTTTGTGTGTCATAATTTCTACTGAACCCCTGATTTTTTCACAGCCGCCAAGCTCTTGGTTAGCCATTGGAAGAGCCAGGAAGATATAAATTATAAACCTCGCAGTTATTTTAGGAAGGATCAATATGATCCTTCAAATCCCTTGTATGGATATGACTACTGGGGAGAACCCAAGAACTCCGAAAGGAGCAAACAAAAGAGCGGATGACAGATGCCCACAAGAAGTCCATTGTGGGAAAGGGAACCGTATGGTATGAAATGTCTTATGATGATGCCATCAAGCAGAAAATGCGAAGAGAAGCTCGTTCAAAGGAAACAATGCATAAGGAAGATGATGAAGCTGAAAAGAGAGCAAGGAAATGATGACGATTTTGATTACAGCATTCTGAGTGAGTGCAGTTTTGAGTTCCCAAATCAACCTCTTGTTAATGGGACTGAATCTTCTAGTATATCAGATGAGGGAATGTTTGAGAACTAACGTTAGTGAAGGATCATTCTTGTATAATAATTGATTATAGTGTACAGGTAAGACCTGATGGGGCTCAATCAATGACAGGAGATCAAATTTTCACACACAGCACAGCAGCAGCAAGTCAATCAATGCCAAAAGACCATTCGAAACTAACCAATTTGGCAAGAAAATTTCGAACTTAATTTCCCACAACATGATGTAAAACAAATAACCCAAATAACAATACTCAATAAGGGTTTGACATCTCAGTTGTATAAACTGAAAATTATCAGCATCAAAGATGTAATTAATACAAATCTAATCTCCAAACATAAAAAATAATTCCTATATATACAAGCTTCATAAACCCAGGAGTTAGCCCATGAGAAAATAAAGCCCACTTAACCCAAAGCAAACCTACTAAGCGAACAAAAACAAATAAGTCCACTAAAAAATTTGGAACTGTTCTATCACTTACATTTCTTCCGATGGATTGCTTATGGTGACAAAAGGGAGCAACATACAGTGCTCGATGTCCGATCATGCAAAATTTCGCACAACCGCACATAAATTTCACTCGACAAGCACATGGTGAAAACAATCAATCAATTTCTCCTTCCTCTACATCATTTACTGGCTCCGGAGCACTTTGGGGAGGTTCATCTTCTTCATATTCATCATCTGCCTTCATGTATAATCCTAGTTGTTCGAGGGGATTACTTCTCCCCTGGAGTTTGAAACTTCCTAACCCATTTTGAGAATGACCTGGGCTTGTCTCCTCAATAAAATTGGGCAAATTTTCGTCGTCGGTGGTCCTAAGCATTTCCAGATCTTCCATAAATTGACTGTTCTCATTGATATCCACCGTCTTCTCCATCTGCAAAGAGCATAAACTTTTTAGTAGCATTAAGACAATGGCACACCACTTCTGCCACATAAAAATGATATCCCAATTTACCTTTAAAAGTGCCTGACGTGCAGCTTCTCTGTCCTCCTCCCTCTTCCTTTTGGCTTCAGCAGCAGCGTCTGCTTCAGCTTTTCTCCTAGCCTCTTCAGCAGCCTTGGCCGCTGCTTGCAACCGTGCCTTTTCTGATAACAGAGTAAAGAAAAAAAGAACCATAGAGCTTCAGATATTCAGGAAAAAAATATTCTACATTTTCTTTTCAACCAAAGGAACATTAATCCAGACAAAAAATCATCAATGATATAAAGTCTAAACCTTCTCTCTGCCGCCTTTCAAGTTCCTCCCTCTCCATCCGCAGTTTCTCCGGATCACCCTTCTCACCCTGTGCTCAATCAAGTTATAATTAATTGATTGGTTAGTCAGAGTTAAACTTTGAGTCATTGACCATATTGCATCTACACACATCCAAGAAAAACTGAATTAGGCTACTGCACTAACCTTTTCAAGTGCCTTTTCTCGAGCTTTAAGTATGGTGTCAGCAAAACGATTCCTCAAAAAAGCTGCACGATAGAGCTTTTCAGGGGAGACTTGCCTCTCAGATGGAGCACTATCCTCTATAATATTACAGCATTATCGGTGAGATGATCCCCAAGAGTAACAGTACAGAGCCTTCTTAATTATTATGCTTACCCTCTTGGTGGCCTTCTACCTCAACAGCACTAGGCTTATCATGAGAGTTCAACTCAACTTGACCGAACTCGTTTAAAGACTCTGTATGAGCACAGAAGAATATGACTTTTTTTTAATAGAGACCCAAGACAGATTTTTCAGCAGGCGTGCATAGTGCAGATATACAAAAATGAGAAACTTACGATTTGCATCATCAAAAACAGCTAAACTGCCGTTCTTTAAGTCCACATTTGTTCCTGAATCCAAATTTTCCTACCATATAGGGAGGGGAAAGATAAACCTTAGAACTGTGATACACTATGTCTCAAACACACCCACTGGAGACAAAAAGGTGCACATTTGTCTTCAATTCACTAAAACACTCAATTTACAAATTATCAAGATATAGAGATACCTTCATAGAACTAACAGGAAGTGAAGCTTTAGCAGCATCTGATTCACTACCAGAATCTGAATCTGAAAAGAAATATATCCAATGAAAATGATTGACTTTTAAAAGAAACAACACAAGTTTACAGTTGCTGTGAAGCAGGTTTGATTTGCAGTCAAAATAATACGCAAAAGGCTAGAAGTCTTTTTCAATTTACTGATGCCAATACAGAATTAAGAGATTAAAGTAAGTAAGCAAACCAAACATATATGTGATTTTTATGGCTTGATTAAGATGGCCCCCCAATTTTAGTTACATCATCAATGAACATGAAGTAGAAACTAGGCAACAAATCTCATCAAGCAAAAGTAATTAACAAAATGGGTCTAATTAATAAACTCTACTCTCAAAACCAGTGAACAAGAAACCATCTGGAGCCCCATTGGTACATATTCCAATGAAGACCTAAGATAATAAATTCCATGCTTAATAGTAAGAGTTCAACAGTCAAAATCACAAGGTGAAAATTACTCAACCTTATATCATAAACAAAGATGACCTCTTACACTAAAAATATTCCCTTTTCTTTTTTTTTTTTTTCAGCTCATATATGATGCCCCACGCCCCCACCAAGTTCCAACACTCATCTGAGAAGTCTCAGCCTACTCTAAAATCAAGACAACCAAAGTTACCTAAACACGGCAGGGACAAAATGCAGATGGAAGTAAAAGAAACACAAACTATGGCAAAGCATAATTGAATAGCATTAAATGAGTAGAATTAACTTTTGTAAAAGTAGGATTACTTAAAGATTCAATTCCATCAATGAAAAACGTTCCACCTAGAGTTGTAATGGGAGTCATTTTCAAAACTCAAAAGTCAACCCTAAAGATTAAACTTAAATTTTTGTCTTCAACATGTTAGGACAGATATCAGAACTACATAAACAACCTTCTGCCCTTCACTACAAGTTGGAGAACCGAGTAGAAATCAAATGACAGCATAGAGTAGCAAATCAAAACCATGAAAACATTTTATTAACCAATCAACAACAATAAAAAGCATCAGACAACAATTTCAAACTAGAAAACAGTTGGCAAACTATGATCTGTAAATTGTGAAAAAGCTCAACATAAACAAGAACATAACAACAGAACTCTTTGTTAGAGATAACTTTCACATAAAACCACAAACTTTTAATACATAACAGCACCCAGATCCTAACCCAACATATTTTCCAGATTAAAAGAGTTAAATATTTCCTATTAAAGTTTTATTTGATGATAAAACAGTTAGAGCGTGCTCATGCACAATGCAATTGCTCAAAAAAGGATATCTGAGGCAGAATAAATAAACATGTACAAACCACTAGAAGAAGAACCTGATTCACTGCTGGAGCTACTGGAACTACGGCATCTACTGTTTCTATGGGTTAAATCCTTCTCTATTTCTACAGGAGGGTAGCCAGAAGTGGAAGGATCATTGCCACCAACTATATCTACGACCTCATCAACTTGATCATTACCTAAGAAGAAAGTGAAAAAAAATCGGTTTCTGTGATGATTTGGTTTACTACCTTGCTATCGGTAAATAAACCAGCAACGCACAGATGAGAAGTAAATTACCTTTACATGGCTGCATGGATGAGTTGCTAAACCCTGACTCATTAAGAAACTACAAGGGAAAAGAAAAAGCAAAATAATCAATGCCAATATTGCATTCTGGATAGAAAAAGCACCAAGATATAAGAGAGAGAGAGAGACATAGGAATACCTCCATTTCACAGGGCTCAGCTTTTGCCTGGTTTTTCTGCTTCTCCAGCAAATAATCATCCAAAAGTTTTCGCAATTTGAACAAGGTTTCATCACTGAGAGCATCAATATCAATCTCAATCTCATCCTCACTCATTTGACCTTCGGTAGAACTATGTTCTTTAAGGAAGTCAACAATGTTTTCGGGCAATTCACCCAACAAAGACTCTAATTCTGTGCTCAAATACTGCTTTTGCTGATTGGTCATGATCTGTCTAACGGGCTCTGGCCCAACCATAGTGTCTTTCGGGTTTATTTTGTTCTTTTTCAAAGGTAAAATGTCACTATTTGTTTCAACTTCTATAGGCACAGCATCAACATGCATGGTTACGGGAAGCTTCTTTTCTATTGCTTTCCATCTTACTTCAAAATATTTACTTAGTGTCTCGGCCATGCAGTGTACATCATTTCCAGGTGGGTTATATGTCATTGCATTTGAGAATGTAAGGCGAACATCAACAGCAAAGTCTGATGGACTCGAATACTGCCCTGAAGCTATCTTCTTCTTCACAGTGCCCAAATCCATAGGGTGCTTAATGACAGTGAAATAATCCGGAATGTTCAACTTTACAGCATCAACAGGGTTGTTAAAAACCCAACCATAATTATGTTGCATCAAACGGTTAAGCAAAGTCTCACACTGCTTCATCAAATAAGTATTTGAATTATTCACTGCCACAGTTGGTTTCTGTTCAAGACGAGTGGATGTGCTCTTTTTTGGGCGGGCTCCATTACGTCCTCCAAGAGGCCGTTTCTTCGCTTGCAAACTCAATACTTCTACCGACCGGTTAAAATTCTCAAGTGGAGGCCTCTTCTTCCCATCACTGCAACTCCTGTTATCAGTAGACGGTGATAAAACAACAAAACTGGATCCCACAGATGAGCCCAAAGAAGCAACTTTCTTCTGTAGCACTCGAACCTGTTCAAGCTCCATTTTTAATCTCAATTCCAAATCCTTTCTCTCAGGTCGTGACATCTTAGACAATGGCAATACTTGTGTGGGGACACCAAAATTATCATGACTATCGGAATTCAAACTTATACATTTCCTTTTAGGTGCATATGAATCCTCTGATGCTGTCATCTCTGTATCAACCCGTCCAGAGCTCCCAAAGCCCTCTGATTCACCCATGGTCTCAATGACATGCTGGTAACCAGGGAAAAAACCAGAAGAATTCCCTCCCTTAAAATGCTCTCTAGACTTCCGCATCAATTGTGAAAATGAACACTTTCTGTATTCCTTCTGTCCTGTGTATTCTATAGGAATAGCTGGTGCCATAAGATTAACTTCCAATGACTGCACATATCAACCAACCCAGTAATACTTATAACCTTCCACTGTTTATTCTATCAAAGCCCAGTCTGAATTCGTTTGTTATAACCTCGAATTCCAAATGTTAACTTCTTATGTATTTATTCAAATTCTTTCAAAAGTTCACAAATGGGCAGTTCCTTACTCCTCAAAAGCATTCAAATGGGAAAATTGGAAATTTTCAACCTAACCAAACTGTCCTTTACACTCCAACCAAACACCAATCTCAAATCTTAGGCTTCACATTCGTCAAATAGTAGAATGTTCAATTATAAACCTAATAAAAACACCAATCAATATCTCACAAAGGAAACACAAAATTATGATCTTTCTTGATAAGTCCTCAATCGAAGCCACCTCGAGAAACCCTAAAATTCTTTCTTCCCTTTGTTTGCCGCTCAAAAATTTAACTTCTTTTTCCCTCGTTTTCGAACTAATAATTGAAACGAATTGGCTATTCAAGAAAATAAGAAAGAATCATTACTTACAAGAGAAAAATCAATTCAAAAATTAATCTAAGCTCGTTTTGAGCATAACCCTTTAGAAATGAGATCGGATCCAACGAAGATAGGAAGAACGAAATGCGGCTAAAACCCTAAATCAGCCCCACAAGAATCTCAATTTCGAAACCTGGATCTCGCAACAGCGCCGTTGATTTTCTCGATTAGAAACCCTAGAGAGAGAAACTGGAACTCCCCTCCCTCGTCGAATCTTCGCTTCGCAGCGCGAGCAAAAAGAGAGAGAAAACGAAAGAGAAAGAGAAAGAGAGAAGTTGTAATCGTTGATGGGCTAAGCGTTCGAGCTCACCTCTCTACTTAAAGGCCCAAAGGCCACTTCAAGCGCCGCTATTGAACTCATCCCAGCCGTTGATTCGTTTAATTGGTGAAATCTAGCGGTTACTGTTTTTATTTCCATATCCACCGTCAGGGTCTAGATCTGGCGGCTGTTATAATTCTCGGACAAATCTTGATGACTTTCCCAGAGTTCTAGATTACAAAATCCAATTGTGAAAGAAAAAGCCAGTAAGAGATACGCTCTCGAGTAAAAAATATAAATTACTCGCTTAGGCAAAAGAACACATTTTAACGGTTCTCGTAAAGGACAGGTGGCATACTAATATCAGCGAGTAAAGAAATCTATTGGGAATGTGGGAAGTAAAGAACATTTACCAACCACGTGTCTGCATTGACTTTACTGTCCGTGATACTACTTTTTCCACGAGTGCTCAATTTGGAGCTGTGCTCAGCCAATTCTTTTGCCACCTTTTCATAACAAAAGATTCAAAAACCAATATATATTTTTTTACATAAAAGGAAAATTATCTCTTATCACGTGTATTGAAAATTATTTCATTCAATAATTATATTTAAATGATTTATTAATAAAATATTAAAATTTTAATTTTAAATATTAAAATTTAATCTTGTGTGAGTATAAAAAAAATTCTCATGCAATGAAATTTATAAGATTTGAATTGATAATTTTTTTATATTTTTTATAAAAATATATTGAAGAATTAAAAATTAAAAATAAAAATATCTATTAACGAAATGTTTATTTCTTTGGCAAAAAACATCATTAAAAAAATTTATCTCATTTTATTAAATTTAAAATAATTAATATATTAATAAAAACAAATTCGATAATATTTTAATTCCACCAATAAAAATTAACAACTCCGCCCATAAGATAGCTATTGGGCCTGGATTGACAGCATAATGGACTCCAGAAAACCTTAACTCAGTTGTGGAATCGTTTGGAACTTCAAAATCTGAATGGACGGGGTCTTGCCGATCAAATGCTCCCTTCCAACTCCAAAGGACAGTCCCGCAATTTCCAAGTCCTGCGCCTTTTTTTTTTTTTAATTTAGATGAGGATACATATTATTTTTATTTAGGAAGAGAAATTTAATTTTAATTTTTTAATTAGAAAATCTAAATTTAAAATAAAAAAATAATTGCAAACACTGTAGTTTGAATCCAATCAAATAAAATCTTAGCGTTAGAGCATTGGTGCATAAGTGAACCGAGGACAAGTAACGGCAGAACTTAAGGGGGAGAAAAAAATAAAAAAAATTAAAAATCGATTCAAAATCATAATATTAGATTTGGTTTGAAGTGATTTTTTTAAATTCAATTCAGATAAAGGTCGGATATTAAATATATATATTATGGTTCGAATTCAATTTTGGATCGAAAGGTAAAAAATAAAAAAAATATTAAACTCAATGGAATTATAAATTTTTTAGTTTTTATATATTTTTTAAAAATTTTATAAAATAAAAATAATAATTTTATATCAAAATCTACTTAAAGATATTAAATTTTTATATTAAAATAATATATAAAATTAAAACTTAAAAATAAGTAAACTAAATTAAATCAAATCATATAATTCAATTCGATTAGATTCAAATTAAATAAAAATTCAATTGAAATCAAAATTTTAATTTTTATAATATTATATAATATTTAAAAAAATTAAATCGAATTCAATCCGAATCAAATCATTATAATCTCTATCAATACCCTCTTTGGCTGCTGAATAATTGCAGGCAAATTCAGCCATCAGAAATAAAACGTTACATAAAGCTTTTTCTATTAGTTAATACAATGTATGTACACATGCTAGATTTTTATTTATCGTAATCGATGACTTTAAATTAAAAAAAAAGTTTAATATTTGTATGCTGCATATTAAAATTATAAAAATTTATATTGGTCAAATAAAATGATTAGATGTGTGCATTAATTATTAAATTAAATATTTGAATGATAACAATTGGATAAGTACCAAAAAAAATAATTATTAAATTAATTTATAAATTATTTACCTTTCATATTAAATAAATTAATAAATTACATGAGCTATAATTTAGAAAACTCTGGAGAACAGTTTAATTATATTTAAATCTAATTTAACTTCTTTCGAAAGTAATTGTTTTTAGATCTGGTTGAATTTCTTTTGTTAAGCTAAAAAAAATTATCACTTTTTAATTTAACAACATTTTTAACACTCATTTTTCAACTTAAACTTTTTTTTAATTATAAACCATTTTTTTTAATGTAACAACAATATTAACTGCAACAACAATCCTGACCTTAGCCCTTGGAAGACTTGAGTAGACACATATAAAGTGCGATTACATGACAAAGCTGTGAGAAGGAAGAGTCGGAGACAAAACAAAAACCAAAAGATATACAGCACGAAGGAATATTATTGCATATGTCGTCATGCATATTTGAGTTGCCGAGTGAGTACGTCAGAACTGAGAAATGGTAGCATTGAAAAAGAAAGGCTCCCATTGGAGGAGTATTGGAGAATGGAGAATAAACACCTGCCCTAACCAAGCAAAGAATAAAAACCCAGATTCGTCCACCTGTCCAACTGCATGTTCCTCTTCTCTGTTACTTCACACCTGTAACGTCCTTGAAGCACATACTTTTCTCATCTGCCTGTTTCCCTGTTTTCTTTGTCCATTTTCTTGTTTCTTTGTCATCCTATCTCATCTACTCTCCCCCTTCTCTGTAAGATTTAGCTTTGAACTAAATCTATAACGAGAGAAAGTGGGTACTGAAAAACTCAACATAATATAACTACTGGAAACTGCCAAAGGCCAATCAGAATCCATTTTCAGATCCTCAAAACGTTAACAACTAGAGTAAACAAAGAAGTACTGGCATAAAATAAAACCATCTACAATAATATAATAATAATTACATAAAATATGGGTACTTTCAGTTCCTTTTAAATCCCTTATGAACAAATGTTATATCTCAAAATTAGAAAGAGACAGAGAACAAGAAAATCCCCTACATAAAAATTATTCACAATTCAAAAGCAAAGTTGGATGTAGATAGTAAGCTTGTCGTGCATTAAAAGATTGTGGTTTTTTTTTTTGTTTAGCGGCCCAGGAAAAGAGCGGCGTTGATATCAAGCCTCCATGCAAATCCACCGCCGTCCATTCTCCAAACATCGCAAGGCAGAGTCAAGGAACTCGTATCCTTCCCACAAGAGTACTGCACCCTTACCCTGCATGTAAACGCCGGGTATGTTGTCATCGGCAGCCTCTGCTTCATCACTAACCACACCATCGTCTCCCCTCCCACCATTTCCTTGTACGCACCGTTGGTCCACGTTACCCTCCCAGTCACATCAGATATAAAGCCAGGACACGTGTCCCTCCCCAGATTAACCTTCCGCTCTTCGTCCGTACTTCCCAGCCCATCCCCACTTACCCACGTGTCTGTCACGCATTCCACCGTGACGCACGAACCCAGCACCCTCACCTTCCTCGGCGCCATCAACATCGCCCGATCTGCTAACGCATCACAGCCGTAGAAGCCCCCGTTTTTATCATCAGCTTGACCAAAGCTTAACCACAAAGGCATCACCTTTTGGACCACTCCCTTTTCCTCCTTCAAAATCGAGTCTTTGCAGTCAGGGGTTTCAGGAAGAAGCGGCAAAGTAACTATTTTCTCTTCGCTCAAAACTCTTCTTTTTCGGTTGCACCTCTTTGTATAACTCATAGTATTACTTTCTTTGGAGTGTCTTCTTTTGCCTCTCCCTGATTTAGAATAAACCTCAGTGTTCTCCTTGGTTGGAACCGAGCCACCGGTCGCCGGTTTGGGAGCAATCGGTCTGAACCGGAGCATTATCCGATCCACTTTTGACATATCGTAAACCCCAGCAGCAGCATATCTCGCTATGCAACATCCTCCTCTACCCTCCATTTTTTTTCACTTGTGAAAATCTCACACTGTTTCGCCTTTCTGTGCGTGTCCAGGGTTAGGACGATTCATGCGCACTAACTGGTGAGGAGACGGAGAGAGAGTGGCGAGTTATAAGGAGAATGGAGAGGACACGTGTGTGAATATTGGGAGTCGACAAGCAAAACGTGGCATTTAGGTGGGGCCCAGCGGCATGGAACGAGGGTTGAGTGGACCCCAAGGGAGAGCCAATAGGAAGGCAAGGAGTGTCCCTGTTATCGGCGCTGAGCGGAGGCAAGTAGGTCTCGAGTCTCACGCTTAACTGCTTACGTGTTAATCGTGGGAGTTAAAGGACACGTGGGCCAATGGGGATGGGCTTTCCCGTTCCAAAAATAGTAGGGTTGGAGATGCGTGACGCGTGGACGGTAGATGACGACACGTATCTCGGTTTGATTGGGATGCGTGACGTCAGAAAATTTTGGTCTATCGAAGAGGCAAGTGGTGCGTGGGGTGGGGGAGGGACGACGTGGACGAGACGATATTTTCTCTTGCTCCGTGATTCGGTGTCAGGAAAATGACTAAGTTTTTTAAGATATTGTTAATGAACTACCGTCGTGTTTTAAATGTGTTTTTGATAATGGCCTTTAGTTTACGCATGGTACAAAAATGGATTCTGATAAGTTACAATCGAATTTATTTGTCGTGATATAAAAATATAATTTAGAGATTTGAACGGATTCAAAATTTTAATTAATTTATTAAATTTTTTATTAAAATGTAAGTTAATATAAATTAATTTTTCTATAAAAAATATAATTTTTTTTATATTATGAATACAACATTTACATAATTAAAATTAAATATACGGTTCTTCATGAATTTAGCATACAATATTATATTATAGATAGATTATTTTTTCACGTAGGCATATATAGATATGTATACATATATACATATATATTAATTTAATAAAATTTGCATAAAAATTTTTAAATAATAGATATAATATATGAAAAAAATAAAAATTATTGTTCAATTTTATTATTTATTTTAATAAACAAATATATTTCATTTTTTATTCATTATAATATGAGAAATAAAAATTGTTTATTTCTTATATACAATGAAAACAATAATAAAAATATATATAATAGATAAAGATGTTTTTTTTTTATTTTCTTTAATTCACACTTTATATATTATCTATATAAAGTTTAAAAATTATTTATTTGTTTTCCACAAAGTTAATATATATTTTATAATAATATTATTTGCTACCCAAAATATAAACTGCTCAATTATTAGATAAATAATAATTTTTTATGAGCCTCAATTTGGTGAGGGTAAATATCATAAAAATTTTCAGTGGAACAAAACTTTTAATTTCTAAAACTTATGAGATTTTTCGATATTAAACCTAAAGAATTCTAGGATCTTAGTGGAGCAGTCTCATTCTCCTTACTTAGATCTATTTTTGTTTGAAAAATTATTTGTCTATCGTATGTTATTATTTAAAATTAATTCTATTAAATGTAAATATTATATTAATTAATAGATTTATAATTTTAATATTACATTATATATTTTTAAAATTCAATACCGTATTAAATATTTCACCATAATTTATTGACTACTCATGACATTAATTTTTATTGTAATTCTAAATTTATTCAATTACAATAAAATTTTATGTGGGATTCATAATTTATAAATATGAATTTCATATAAATTTTTGATAGACTCTATAAAATTTTAAATTATAATTGATTAAATATAATACAATAATTATAGTTTATTTGCTTGACATATGCAACTAAATTAAAATACTACTACTAATGATATTATTTAATTAAAAAAAAAAAACAAATTCAAGCTATCTATTGAACCAGCCAGGCTGATATTGGTGCATTAAAAAAAAAAAACAAATATATAGCTGGCAAAAAAATCTCTATAACATATATGATTTAGAATACATGAAAAGAAAAGCAGCTAGTACATATTGACCTACCACATTTTGCATTGAACATTGCACAAGTAAGAATAATTTGTCATGAAAAGTGTGATTGTTTGGTATTAGATACTAAATGGGATACAATGGACCTTTGGGAAAAAAAAAAAAAAAAAAAGAGAGATAGTTGATTTTTTCACTATAAAATAGAAATATTAGAGAGTTGAATGGCATATGAACAATGATAATTTTGTCTAGTTATTATATAATTTATAAGATCTTGGCATTATTTTTCCTTTTTAATTTTAATACTGAAACTAGAGATGGTAAATATATCAAAATTTGTCGGGTGTAAACTCGACCGAATTTTATAAATTTTAGTTTTAAAATTGAATTTCGAGTTAAATCAGATTAGATTTAAAAAAAAAAAAAGAGATCGGATCGAAATCAAATTTTATGAAAACTTGATTCGATATATATAATTTTTTATTACTTATTTAATTTTATATTTATATATTATATTAATAAAATTATTATTTAATATTTTAATTTAAGATATTAACTTACTAAAAATATTATATTTATATATAATTAAGATATAATTTATATTAAAAAATATTTTATAAATATTATACTAAATTAAAGTTATTAAATTAATTTTAGATCAATCAAATTAATTATGATTATATATATTGATAAAATTGAATATAAAAAATAATATTTTAATATCAAATTGAATCAAAATTAAATATGTATTTTATAAAATTAGATCAAAATCGGATAAATAAACCTATCCCGTTACCATCACTAGCTTAAACCTTTTCGTGCTTAAATTGTCAATTGGTTTAATTATGAATCTCTTGGTTCATTGTTTCCCTCTTAGAAAAATAATTAAAAAAAAAAAAATCTATTCCAAAACCTTCATTGAAAACGAAATTTTTAAAGAAAAAAAAAATGCTACTATGGCTTTTAGCTCATCGTAAGTGTCCAATGAAGCGCTTGAAGACTACCGAGACCTTCCTTTATCCCTCATACTTGTCTAGATTTTTGAAAGATCGAGGAGGGAAAGGGACAATTTTGTTCAATAATTCTGGCAAGACAAAACATTTCTCGTGGACCCCATTGCTTAACTTAACATACAAATGGAAAGATCCTATCCGTTGAGTTTTACAGAATCCGATTTAAGATCATGGGGATGATTGAATCGTACGACTGAAAATATGTGGTGAGATATTCGAATTTTGGTAGGTACAAATGATCATTGAAGTTGGGGAGCAATTGGCAAATCTTGAGCCATGCAGTGTTATGATTTTTCTTTTTTAATTGGGTCCTTATGTTTTAAAGTTTGTGATTCCCTTCCCTGATTTAAACTTTTGCTTAAGAGTGGGAAAAAAATTGAAATAATTAAAAGTCGATTTGAAACTATGATATTTAGTTTGGTTTAGATTATTATTTTTATTTGATTTGAATTAATTTATATATTAAATTTATATATTAGATTTAGATTAAATTTTTATTAGGAGATTAAAAATTAAAAAAATTTAATCGAATCAAAAATATATTTTTTTATTTTTTTATATATTTTAAATTTGTATAAAATAAAAATAATAAATTTATATCAAAATCTATTTAAATATATTAAAATTTTATATTAAATAATATATAAAAATAAAAATTTAAATTTAAAAATTAGTAAACCGAATCGAATTGAACTAATAAAATTCAGTTCGGTTTGGATCATATGAAAATTCGATTTGAATTTGAACTGAATTTTAAAAATTCACAATATTATGTAATATCCGAAAAAAAATAAATCAAATTAGATTTGATTCGATCCAAACCGTTATCACCTTTACTTTTGCTTGCGTTTGCTTTGAGCAAAAGTTCAATCACCTCTTTGAACCATCATGTGATACCATTTTAGAAATTTAATTATAAAACATAATTTGACACAATATCAATTCAAAAATTCAATCATAAAATATAATTTGATGTGATAAAAGTAATCACTCCATACTACCAATGCGCCGAAAGAATCAATAATATTACACTTCTTTTTAACCTAAGCAAGAAAGTTTACATAGCATAAGTTAATATGATTCACATTCCAAATTCCTAAACACTCCTTGATTTTTTGGATGGTTATATTGAATAAACTACCAATCAAAGATAGATTCATTACAGGGGATTAGGTTTTTAGTAGTCTTTTTTTTTTTTTTCATATTTAGTGGTGTTTATAAACTCCACTAAAAGATTAGCAGTGTTTACCAAAAACGTCATTAAAAGTGTCGTCTATATTTACATTAGAGAAAATAACGTTATTTTTAAAAAAATACCGCTAACTTAGCATCGTTTTTATCATAAAATATTGTTAAATTTAGTGACATTTATAGTAGAAAATGCTAGTAAATTTAGTGGTATTTATAGTAGAAAGTACCACTATATTTTGGTATTTAATGGCGCTTTTAGGCACAAATGCCACTAAATTAAAAAAAATAATTTTTTTATTTTCTTTTAATATTGATTATTATCATTAAATAAAAATATTAAAAGAAATAAAAATAAACTTAAATTCATAAACTAAATATTATAAATACATAATTTGTTCCAATATGGATGGAACACAAAGTTTAATACATGTAATAATATTCAAATTATTTTAGTACATTAACAAAAAATCTAAAAAGAACAGAAATAACATCAACAAAAAATTTATACAAATTTTAATCGAATATTCATACATCTAGAAACCTAACAGAGGAAGATTAAGTATGTGGCAAATACTTTACCTTGCAGTATTCACAAATGACTATAGATGTTTTTTTTTGGTTTTTTATCTTTTATTGTTGATAGTTTTCAGCACAATGAATCATTCAAGTAAGATTAAATCATTTCATCAAATACCACAATATGAAAAAACAAACAAAATAAATGCCAATATGAGATGAAAAAAAATAATAGAATATTACATAATGATTTCCTAAGGATATCTAAATTGAATCAACAAATTCATGTTAACAAGTAATCATTTTTTAGTAATTTAAAAAATATTATGTTGAAAAAAAATTAGACCTAAAATTTCATTTATGTTTATAACTAAATTCAACGTTCAATTTCAAGTTTTTTAGAGAGAAATCATATTTATTTCACTTCTATTTTTTCTTGAATTTTTCTCACCAACTAAACAAAACCAAGCTTAGAACTGCAATAACGAAATAAATTGATAAGAAAAAAGAATGGTTAAACACTAAAAATTACTAAAGTTGAAATGTAGCTTACCAATGGAGCTTAAACAGGGGTAGAAATGTAATAAATTATATAAGAAGTTTAGGAATTTGACCTAACAAATTAGACAATAAGTTTAAAAAATTGACTTAAAATGTAAGAAAGCTAATTTGAAATTTGCAAAAACAAAAGAAAAGAATATGAAAATTGACCACAAAATGACTGAAACTTATGTAAAAAATGAGAAGAAAGCGACCCAAAATGAGCAAAAATAGAAGAAATGAGTAAGGAAAAGAAAAGCAGAAAGAAGGTCCAACGGGTTTGAAATTTAAAAAAAAATTAGCAGTGAAAAAGTATGATTATTGAAGGTATTTTTGGCTAAAAACACCTTCAATAATTCTTTTCAATTTTTTCTAGGATTATTCAAGGCATTTTTTTTACCAAAAATGCCTTCAATAATCTTTTTTTTTTTAAAGATTATTCAAGACATTTTTTGCCATAAAAAAGCCTTGAATAATCCCTTACAAAAAATTAAATGGGTTATTTATGGCATTTTCTGGCTAAAAAATCCTTCAATAATCATTTACAAAAAATTGAAGGAGTTATTCAAGGTATTTTTAGCTAAAAACGTATTTAATAATCTCTTCCAATTTTTTTGAGGATTATTGAAGGCGTTTTTTTACCAAAAAATGCCTTAAATAATTTATTACAAAAAATTGAATGGGGTTATTCAGGACGTTTATGGCAAAAAATACCTTAAATAATCCTCTTCTTTTTTTGAATTATTCAAGGTATTTTTTATTAGAAAACGCCTTAAATAATATTTTATAAAAAATTGAATGAAGTTATTCAAGCGTTTCTGACAAAAAAATGACTTAAGTAATTCTAAAAAAAAAAAAAAAATTATTAAATATGTTTTTGGTTAAAAATGCTTTCAATAATTTTTTCAATTTTTTTTAGATTATTCAATGCGTTTTTAATTGAAGGAAGTTATTGAATGCGTTTTTAGCAAAAAATGCTTTTAATAATCCCTTTATTATTTTTTTTATTATTCACCTTTAATAAAAATTGAAAAAATTTATTCAAAGTATTTTTTGTCAAAACTACCTTTAATAATCTCAAAAAATACTTTATTTTTAGCGGTGTTTACGTAAATGTCATAAAATTTATAAAAGTTAAAGTGTATAGTGGCTTTTAGGTCAATAAATGTTACAAAAATATATTTTTAATGATGTTTTTAAATCCAAATATCATTATATAAAAATTTAATAGCATTTTATAAAAAAATTACCAGTAAAAAACAATAATTAAATCTTCATTTCCGTGTAGTGATTAAAAGTTTGAGGAATGGAGACTAATGACAAGTGTAGATTATGCAAGATGGAAAAGCAAACAAGCTATCATATACTCTTTGACTGTGCATACTCAAAGGAAGTTTGGCAACAGTTGCTTTAATCATGCATAATTCACAAAGTAGTGGAGAATTGAAATTCATAATTAAATCGGGCAATAAATAGATTGAAAGGGAAAGCATTGATATTTATCATTTTGAGACTAACATGAAATGCCTGCATATACCACATATGGATCGAAAAAAACTCCTAAAAATTCAAGCCAAAAAAAGAAAAAAAAAGACAACAACACAGCTGTACAATTGAATTAAAGATGATGTTCGACTACGGGTACAAGGGTTGAGCCATATTGATAACTTATATATAACTATGCTAAAATAAATTGTTTGTTAATTGTACACACAGTTGAATAATTACTTTGTAACCAAATTATGTTTGTTTGGAAAAATAAAATACAATTTATAAAAAAAAATTGCTGTTTGTATGGAAAAAAGTTCTGACCAAAATGGTGTGAACGAGAGAAATGATACAAACAGATGGCCATGATAGAACATTATCGAAGCAGCCACCACGGTGCAGAAGTGGATATGACTATGGCGCCCAAAGAGGAAGCTGTCATCGTCACAGTCACACCCACCGCAACTGAGAAACCAAGGCTAGCTGGTGGGTGCGTTTACCTGAACTCAAAAGCGGAGAAGAAAATGTGAAAAGACGTTCAAGAAAAGGTTGGCAATAGGGTTTGCTTTCTTTCTTAATTAGGAGGTCGACATGGCGTTGTCAACATGACCATGTTAGCCTGTTATGGCAGGCCAGCTAGCTTCTGTGAGAAAAAGGCAATCTTAACTAAAATCGTCATCCAGTCAAATCGAATTAATATAGAGATAAATTCGAGTTAGTGCTTTACTCTTAAAAATTCGATTTAAATTTAATTTAAAATAAAAATTAAATTATTTAAATTTATTTGATTAAGTTTATTTTAAATTTAATTATATATATAAATTTAAGTTTAAATAAAAATTAATATATAAAAATAAAATAATAATTTTTAATTAAAATAATAAAAATGTATTAAAATTTAAAAAAGATTAAACCTATGAATTATTAGAGTTAGATATTAAAATATTAAAATTTAATTTATTTAATAAATTAAACAACTCAAACTAAATCTCAACCGAACAATAATCGAATTGAATTAATATAATTAAATTAAAATAATTTATAAATATTAATGTATTTATTTTTAACAATAAATGATGTTGATAAAGTTAATTATTGATTGAAGATTTGATTTTGAATAATGAATCAGAACCTCGTTTCTCTTTCTTTTTGTTTTAGTTTCTTCATACCGATCATTATTTTTGCAAAATTATAAAGGTTTTTCTCTTCTTTATGGGAAATCATTGTTTCTGAAATTTCATCCAGTTTATGGATATAAATCCGTGGTTTTGATAAGATTTTTAATATCATTATTCTTCTTTTATAATTATTTTTTTTTATTAAATATCAATGGACTAAATTTTTTTTAAAAAAATTATTTACCTAAATAAAATAATTACAAATATTAATATTTAAAAATGATATATTTTAAAATAAATTTATTTTAAATCTCTTCAAAATTTTAAAATTTTCCTTCCAAACGACACCGTTAAGAAAATTGAGATTTAAAAGGTTCTAAACAGGTGCAAACTTTTCGTATAGGACTATGATCTGTGGGCTCTCTTCCAATTCAATGAGGCCCTCATTGGCAAGATTAGGGCAATACTTAGGCTTTTAAGCCCATTGGGTCAGAATAAGCAATTCGACAACATAATCGGCACCGACTCGAAAAAATAACCCTAACCTCTCTGACGCGCTTGGTATAAAAGGCAACAAGGGGCGGCTAAAGATAAGGTCAACGCGTTAAACGAAGAAGCGTATTGTGTCCATATTCTCTGATTCTCTTTGCGTTTGGTTTACATCTCGCTTTGCTTTCTGGTAAGATCTTCGATTACCTCTGATTTGTCGAGGTCAGGTCAGATCCTCCAAAAGAAGCACAAAAATTTCAAGTTCTAGGGTTTTTGATTGTTGTTCGTCTGTTTTATCTGATATTTTTGTTTTGTTTTACGCTGAGTAGTTGCCATATGTGAAAATCTACTGTGTAATCGTTGGTTTTCTCGTTTTTATTGTTTGGATTTGTAAGCTTTGTCCGTATAGTTACGGTTTGTACCTTATAGGAAACCCTAAAGAAAAAAAAGAAAAGCTATTTGAATTATTTGTTTTTGCTGTCTGATTGGGGATTTTGTTTGGTATATAGTTTTCGTTTTGAATTTTTTTATTGAGAAGAGTTGTGTGGCTCTTGGTTGGCATGGCGGCAGGGCGAGTCGATGTTCCCAGGAGAAGTGATGTTCCGAGGAGAAGTGATGTTGGGAAATTGAATCGGGGTCATGGTTATGCTATTCTCGATACGAATGCATACAATTACCCATCTAATGGGAAGAATTTGGTTGCCCAGCATAAGAATGGGTTCAACTTGGGTCCTAGGCGATGTGGGTTAGAGGATGTTGCCAAAGTTAAGAATGATGTAATGCGAATGTTGGATGATGGGGATCAGCAGCCCCCTCAGAAAAGGAGGAAGTTTTCCCCTATCGTATGGGACATAGAAGAGAAGGAAGTAAGAATTTCGTCCGCGAAAAGAGTTGTTTCGATGGCTTCCATTCTGTCATCTACTCCTTCACCTTGTAAGTTGTCAAATAGTGTTTCCATTTGGGTTGTTGAGAAGCAACTGGTCTCTGCAAACCCAATGGAAGAAGTGGATCATTTACTTCCCAAGCCTCTGGTGTCAGATTTTTCTGCTGTTTTATCTCAGTCTCCATCTTGCCAGCAATGTCAAGATGGTGAAGAAGAACAAGATTTTATCGGAAAAGAAAATATTCAAGCACCTAATATATTTACATCTCGTTGGGCATCTGATAGTGATGATGAAGATGTGTCTGGAAGTGAGGAAAAGACTAGGAGTTCGAGTCTTGAGAGTGGAGAGTTGGAAAGAGAGGAATTGGAAGGAGAGCAGATGCTGTCTAATGAAAGAAGTAGCAGTGTACTGACTGCTTGCGAGGATGATGATATGGAATCTAAGTCGGATTCTGATGGTGTGATGGGTATTGGTGATATGCATGATGGAAATGCTGTTGTTGAGCAGTCAGATTTAGATGCTGAAGAGCCAGCAGGAAGAAGTATGGACATGCTTCTAGGTTGCAGAAGTGTCTTTGAATATGAAAAATTGAACAAAATAAGTGAAGGTACTTATGGTATTGTTTACAGAGCCAAGGATAAGAAGACGGGAGAAATTGTGGCCCTGAAGAAGGTAAAGATTCTTGACCGAAGAGATTCAGAAGAATATGGTTTCCCTTTGACATCACTGAGGGAAATTAACATTCTTGCATCTTTCCATAACCCTTCAATTGTGGAAGTTAAAGAAGTTGTTGTAGATGACCATGACAATGTTTACATGGTTATGGAGTACATGGAACATGACTTCAAGGGGCTAATGGAGTCAATGAAACGACCATTTAGTACAAGTGATGTTAAATGCTTGATGCTACAGCTATTGGAGGGTGTCAAATATCTCCATGATAATTGGGTGCTCCATAGGGATTTGAAGACGTCCAATCTTCTCTTGAACAACCAAGGTGAACTGAAAATATGTGACTTTGGTATGGCACGCCAGTATGGAAGCCCTTTAAAGCCATATACAACTAAGGTGGTTACTCAGTGGTATAGGTAAGCTGCATTCTTTGTATTTATTTTTTTCTTTTGTATTTGGAATTTTTATGAGCTTTTGAATTTGACATGACCTTGGTTTTATTTCTGCATTTCAGAGCACCTGAACTTTTACTTGGAGCAAAAAAGTATTCTACAGCAGTTGACATGTGGTCTGTGGGTTGTATAATGGCCGAGTTGTTATCTAAGGAACCCTTGTTCAAAGGGACAAGCGAAATTGATCAGCTTCGCAAGGTAATTATTGTGTCTATTGAAACTTTTCACCTTTAGTTTATATCATTGCTATTATTTTGTTTTCTGATTTATGGTCGTGATGGTTGATGATTGCAGATCTTTGATACTCTTGGTACTCCAAGCGAGAAGATTTGGGCTGGGTTTTCTGAATTACCAGGGGCCAAGGCAAATTATTCTAAGCAACCGTAAGTATCTATCTGTACAAGTGATCCTCATCTAAATAACTACTATTTATTGTGATTTTCTATATGTTTGGTATTTGCTGATTACCTTGTTATGTGATTTGCAGTTTAACAAGTAGTTGCATTTGTTTTTTCTTCCAGGTATAATTTGTTGCGAAGGAAGTTTCCTGCAGCATCTTTCACAGGATCTGCAGTTCTTTCTGATGCTGGATTTGACCTGTTAAACAGGCTTCTTACATATGATCCTGAGAAGGTAAATATACATAAGTTTAAAATCCCAATTTTTTAAACTTTTAGTTTATATATATTGGTTTCCACTAAGGAAAGTTTCTGTTATCTGTGCAGAGAATATCAGCAAATGATGCTCTTAATCATGATTGGTTCTGCGAGATTCCTCTACCAAAATCTAAAGAATTCTTGCCTACTTTCCCCCCTAAAATGTGAATGAAACAGGTACCTGGAGCTCCTGGCCTGCTTGGTGAACAACCAAAAAAAACATATTTGGGCTGCTTTTTAGTTTGCAGTCATAGCAGTTTCTTAATTTTGTTTGAATGACTCCTAGGCTTATACACGAAGAATGAATCTAATGCAGCAGCGATAAAATTTTTTCTATCTATTGGTTTGTGTTATGGGACAGGCAGATTGGTGCATACAGCTGCAATGTTATTTTCATGATAATTGTATCTTAGGCAGATGATTGACAAGAGGTGAGGTGCAGCAATTTTATGTTCTGGTGGCAAAATATTGTGAGAAACTGATATAGTCATTTGGCAGGCACATAAATGACGTTCTTGTAGAGATTAAATTATTCGAGGGGGTTGAATTACAGCCTTACACTCCCAGTCATTAGTTTGGATGATTTTGTGATGAATTGTAATGGTCGTTAGCTGCGGTTGAATTTGAAGGTGCAGCGTATTGACCTTATCTTAAAATCTTTTCTTGTTCATCTCCTTGATATTGTATCAGATTGTAACTCGTGTAAATATTCTTAACCACATTTGCTCTAAAAATATTGCTCACATTATTTCCTTCAATTTTTTCACATTGCTTGCAAGAATCTACTGATGTTTGGAAGCAAACAGCACTGGTCTTCCTGCTCATGGGCAGTAAGTTTTGCACGCTCAAGGTGCTTTGGAAATGAATTAGTTGATCTTTTAACTTGTGAGATTTTTGTTTCTTTGTTTTCTTCTTTTGTTTTAAGCGTTGCAGCCGTGTGGGAGGTTTGCTGCCTGCACGTGTTTACATAATCACTTGCTGTGCAAGTAAGATGCTATATGCATTGTTGGTATATCATGTTATTTTGGACTTTGGTAACCTCTACCCTAGCAATGACCAATTGTCAGTTTATATAAATTATGACTAAGAATTCATGTTATTTAGCAAGATGGTGACATTGATGATGCAGAGAAGGTTCTGATTAACATGCAGATGTTACTGCAGTTGAAACGATAACAGAACCAGTAGCGTGGGAGGCTTGTTCTCTTTCCTTTCTCTTTCCCGTTATCCTTTCTTTAATTCATTTATGTTTTCGTTGTCATGAATGAACTCTTACAGTTTTTACTTCCTCGAGTGTCTGCAAGATACCTTATAATTGAAAAAGAACAGTTACGGGCGGATGTCATCATACCAAACTTGTAAGATGGTTCTAACGGTTTCTCTCTACCCATACCCCTCATTGCCTGTGTAAAAATATAGATTCTACTACGAGTATTTAGTGTTGTTATGCATGGTTTAAATATTTGCTTATATAATTGTTAGAAATCTTCAAGTTCGAATCTATAGAAAGAAAAAGTATTAATCTAAGTTGAAATATTATTACTCATGGTTTTGTTCTTATGATTTATGAAGCTTAGGATTGCAACAAATTAATTTACAATTATATTCAACTAATCAAATTAGATATAATGAACCATTCCAAAAAGAAGAAAAAGATTGATTCTCTATTGTGACTGGTATTCTTTAGTTTTGGGGTTTAAATTGATTTTAAAAGGGTAGGATAGGGTCCAGAAAGATTGTTTTAGCATCTGGTAATTATTATGATTGGTTAACAAGAAAGTGACTTGAAAGTTTTGTTAGATGTGCATATGATTGTTATTACTCAATGTCCTGTTAACCGTATGAGTCGAGCATTTTCTATGTCGTTGCTGAACTATATTATTTTTTATATATAGGAATTGCTCAACTAATTTTAAACGTACAAGAGGTTTTAAAAATTTTAAATGTAGAGTATCTCTATTGGCCAGAAAAAAAATCATTGCCATCAAATTGGAATCAAATGCTCCCTACCATTATCGTACACTCGGCTTTAGTGAGGTGCCACTACCTGTAAGAAGCTGGGACTGCCTGTATCTGGCTGAGAAGATCAAGAACTCTTTTTTCTTTGAGCATTGGGGATTTCTCTGGATCAGGCTCAGGCCTCGAGCTAACCTATTCGATCCACACGGTCAGCTGGTCCAATGGTTGCGACCGAAGAATGAATGTGGATTATGGGTTTAAGAGCTATTGGGGGCTGGAATATTAATAGGAGCTCATTTCCTTATGAATGGGACTAATCGTGTGAATTAATAGAGATAATTTATCAGCGACAATACTGTATTTTTGCATGTTAACACTTAAGGAATTGTTTATTTTGGAGGGAGTTTGTTTTGTAGATTATGATTTTTGCAAAATAATTTTTGTATTTTTAAGTATTTATTTAACATAAAATTGGTTGATTAATGAAAAATGACTTGTAGGAAATAAATATTTTGAAAATAATTGTTTGAATTATTTATCAACTTGGAGTATAATTTTATCTATAAATAATATTATATTAAAATAATATATTATTAATAAATAATATTACAATATGCTAATAAATAATGTAGAATAATGAGATTTATTTTAAATATTTTTTATATTAACATATTATTTCAATATTAAATATTATTATTAAAATATAATAATATTTGAATTTTAATAATTTTAATAATAAATAATCGAAAATATTTTTTGTTTTAATATTTGAATCTATTTTTATTATTTATATTTTAAAAACTTATTTATATTTTCAATTACTAAACATGCTTTTATTCATATTTTTTATTTTTTTAAAAAAATAAAAATAGAAAATGGTTTTATTTTCTAAACTCGAATACTATCTTAAACATTTTTCAAAAATTATTTTTTGAAAGTTATTTTTCGCGAAATAAACTAACTTTAATAATACTCTTCTTTTTCTCAAATTTTATACTAATATACAAATTTTTGTAAATTGTAATCACCAAATATTGGAAACTTTTTAAAAATCATCTCTAATTAAGTATTAATTGACGAATACCAGAAAGAAATTAAGAAAAAGGAAATTGAAACAATCTATTGTTGCAATTTTCGATTCATTGCCCTAAAATTTAATACATGATTTTGTCTAACCAAAACCCTTGATATTGAAATTAGTAAAAAACCTTGGTCCAAGTGAAGGCATTGAAGGATAAGGGGCACCAACTAGCAAATAGAATACCAAAAATACTGTTATAAACAGAGCGAGGGTTTAACCGTTTAAAGGGTTTTCTCTGCCAATCGACTCGTGAGTGGTTTTTTTTTTAAAAGAAGAAAAATGGGTATTGAGAAATGTTGTTTTTTTATTGATTTTTTATCTTGCATTTTAATTGTTGCAAGAAAAAGTGGTGTGGTGAGTAACCTTCATCTTCCTTCTCCTGTCATAGTAGCTCAAGGCTTTAGTAAATTTTTTTGTTGAATATATACCGCAGATTGAGCTTCTTAATCCCCTTAATACTGAACTTTTGTCATGCTATCAATGTTTTCTCCCCCATGTCACTTTAAATATTTTCATATTTGCCTTCTGAAAATTAGTGAATTTGCAATGATTAGCTTCCCAGCTTATTCCATTATCGGTTGACATTGGATTTCTTTTTTTTTTTTTGGGAGGGGGGGGGGGGGGAAGTGGGGGTGGGTGGGTAACAGGGGTTACTTTTTGATTGGGGGAAGGGGGTTACTTAAGCTTATGCATTGTCCATTGTATTTTTGGGGCTAAATTTGCTTCTATACATGCAAATACACTGCATACAAATCTCTTTAACTTTCTGCTTTTTTTGGGTGCAGGTTTTCCTGAAGCAGCATCTTACAAAAGTTGTTTCTGACACTAATTTCACTGAAGAAGGTTACTTCTCTACCTAGAATCTTTTGTGTTGACGATAGCTTGGTATCCATGTTCTTGTCACTGCTTGTCAATATGGCATGTTACTGTTTGCTTCGTGGGTCATACTAGTCAACAAGAACTTTGGTTGGAAGCAGGCTGTTTTTAGCAGGTCCAAGTCCCTTTTTTTTTTTTTCACAATTTTTTTATTTTTAAAAAATAAGACCTCAGCCAATGGTCTCGTAAGCTAATCGAATGTTTCCCCTGACAAAAAGCATGACTAAGGTTTAGGTGTTAGATTTTTGAGCAGGGATTTGCCCTTTCAGCCTTCCAGGTATGAAGAGTGTTATACAGAGTAGGATCATCACCCTAAGCAGCCAACTCAAGTAAGTTGCAATCATATGATTCGTTCCATTACTTGGAGGTGGAGATCTTAAATGCATCTAGGCTCATAATTAGAAAAAAAGATGGGGGGGTTTAGGGTTGAAATCCAAAGAAAAGGAGCAAAAAGAAAAGGAGGGAAGCAAGAAGTTGAAATCCAATAAAAGAAGCAAAAGTCATGACAAAATTATTACTTGCACTCGGGGTTTAGGGTTGAAATCCAGAGAAAAGGTAAGCATGCTAAAGAAGTGGCAAATGGTTGAAATTCAAGCAAGGAAATATGTCTTGCTGTATGGCAGGTTTGACAGAAAATATGCGAGTCTCAACAGGAGGACTCAAATTTCTCCAATAGAAATGATAACGTTTAATTAGTGCGAAGTTATTGAAAATAGCATGTATTTCATCTCTGTCATAGTATACAAAACTCAGTTTTTTTTTTTTTTCCAATTTAATTGTAGCTTATTTGAAATTGTTCTGAAACAAATGTTTAGTTTCATCATTTGAATCAAGCAAAAACATTCTTCAGGGATCAGAATAAAAATCACAGAAACTAGGAATGGAAAGAAAAGCAGCTAGGAAAGAAGGCTGCTTTACTGAGATGAGGCTTCCTCTTTCTTCTCTGACAAATACCTAGAGAACATTCGAAAAATACATTAGATCTACCTACACTTGACTTTCACTACATGAATCCACGTGTTTTAACAACTCGAAATAATAGCTACTATACCAAAACAAAACTACAAAGTAATAAGTAACTGAAAGTAGGTCCAGATATTCAAAAATTATTCTTCTATATGGTGGAAATTATGGAAAACATTAACTGAAATATCTATGAACTTAACAAGATTGGAAACCAAATGGCAATTGCATAGAAAAGAAATTAGCTCAATGTGAACCAAAAACACCAAACTTACCCCTGAGCTGTGGCCCAGCGGGAAAGTTGGTAGAGCTGCACTGTCTCATTTGAAGCATGGCAAGCCAGTAGTAGATAGTTTCGTGGCTGTACCATCCATGCAAACCTCATGAACAATGCTGAATAGATGCACATTGCTGCACAACCAGAATAGAAGAGAATGATTAGAATCTTGGGGAGGTAATAAATACCAAGAAAAATCTGTAGCTTCTTCAAACTATATTTTATTTTTAACCTGTTGTCATGTTGCCAGAAATCATTTCTGGGGGCTTCTTCATGTCCACCAATCCCTGAAACATTCACAAATAATGTTCAGACATGTCATAAAGCACAAAGTTGAATGTTTCTCAGATCCAGTATAATTTTGTCCAAAGGGTGAACAACTGAACATATTAAAAACCTAAATCTGTACAATCTTAAATTGATGGTAGTTAAGCATACAGCAAGAACAAATCCCCAATTGGCAACAGGCCCCCAAAAGTGAGTTGTTTTTGGACCAACTGGACTGTTAAGGAAAGCTCGGAAGGAAGAAGCCATCCGTGACAAATGCTGCTGAAAATAGCTCTGCAATGGTTGAAAACTTATAAGTTGGATAGGAATTATTATAACTTATCAAATTTCAAATGATAAGTTTCAGCTGCAGAAAATCAAGGTTATATTGATCATTGAAAGTTCTGCCACACATATCACCATATATGCTAGGCTAAAATTTCGAATTATCCTCAGCAAACAACAAAAAAATGCCTGACTTCCATCTCAGCCTGACCTTTGGTGTCTGTCACCCTATGCAACCTCCCGTATAATATTTATCCTTTGTAAGAGTCAAACTCTACAAGTCATTTAAGACTCTGCTTGGTTAAACAATATTACACAAGCAAAAAACTTGGCCTCAAGGTCTAAGCCATTAACCTATTCAGTTGTCATAACTGTCATAGATGAATAAAAGGGTAAAGGGTATAAAATGCCCCTGAACTATAATTAAAAAATCATCCAAGCTCTTATTTTCTTATTGCAATCAATCAACTCATTCAATATTTATTTACATCTAATTAAGCTCTTATTTGGATAAAACAGTTAAAATGTTAAATTTTTTGCCAACTAAAATACAGTTCCATGTGGCATTGATAAAACAAATGAAAGTTTGCCATGTGACACAATTAATATATGTAAAAATTAAATAAAATAAACATTTTTTTTCTTTTTCTTCTCTATTTTCTCTTCCTCTCTCTCTCTAACATCCCTCTTAAGTGTTCAATTGACTGTAGGTCAAGGATTGATTGATCAAATTTTGCCACGTGATTATATTTCGTCCATTTAAGGGTTCAATTGAGTCAAAATAGAAGATTAAAGGCTTGGTTGATTGCAATAAAATGTTAAAGGCTTAAATAATTATTGAATTATAATTTAAGGGCATTTTTTACCCCTTAGCCTGAATAAAACCAACTAATAAACCATAAAGAAATAGCCAATCTTTCAGCTTGAATGGTTCTTGACATAATATCAGAGTCTCTTTCACCAATAAGACTAGATTCTCTTAACCCGGTAGGCTAGTTCTAGCAAATAAAAACTATCCTTGGGCAATTGTACAATCATGAAGAACTAGCTAGTTACCAATGAAAATGCAAGAAAATCTTCATGCTTAAATTAAGTCACCATAACATCAGGAGAAAGCAGTGTAACAATCAATCAGATTGAATCTTTTTTTCTCCCTCTTTACACACACAGTACTTGCTATAGTTAGAGCGAAAACCAGACAAACACAGAACATAAAACTCAAAGCAAGCACCTATGATTGCTGCAAATATGATCAAATCCCAGGCATAAAAATATTAAATTCTTTTATTAATTCAGAAATCAAAAGAGTCGTAATTGTACAAAAACGTAAAAATGAAAGACATGACAGAAACCCTAAGAAAAAAAAAAGAAACACTTTAGATTCTTTAACTATATTTCCCCGAATCACTTTAGAGCTAATAAAACCCTAACCCCACCCGCGTCAACATATACGAACTCAGTAAAAAAAAAGTGATGGCTACTCATTGCAACTTATAGGGTAATCGCCAAAGACTTTAACTTTAAGTGAAAACCGATAAAAATGTGCATTCCAAAAGAACTGGATCAAATGGCAAATCACGATTCAGACAAGAATATCAGTGAATTACAGATCAAACGGCGATGAAGATGATGATGATGATGATGTGCGTGTAGGTATGCGCGAGTACCTTTGTAAACGATGCCGCCGGAGAAGTCAGAGACGATTGGTGATTCCGGAGGGGCTGGCGGGATGACGAGTGGATGATGGAAATGTTTGGTGGGAGAGAAAGTAGACGGAATGTGACTCTGGATCTTCTGACTTTCTGGCTTCTGTGTTGGAGCTGTCATCCTGTGAGATAGGGTTTAGCGGAGAGTTTTATTGGAATTTGACACGTGGTTTAGTCATATCATCTTAAATTAATTTTTCAAGTATTATTATGAAGAAATTATTTTTAAATTCTCAATGTAATTTTTTTAATTTTACGAATAAAATTAAAAAATTGTTAATTTTTAATTAATTTTTATTTTTAATACATAATATGTGTCACAAATTTAAAATTTTCACTGACCGTTAATGAAATAATTTCACTTATTATTTTGAATAGGATATTTAAAAGTAAATTATGCTATATATTGTTTAATATTTTATTTTTATATGTGGATTTAAAATTTAATTTTTAAATTAATGATTTTTTAAAAATATTTTTACCGTTATACAGTGTCCATTTCCATAAATCTGAATCTTTAAAATCCAAATTCATGATTTGCTTAATTTAGTTCATAAGTAAAATTACTTAACACTTAAGCCTAATTTAATATAAAAAAAATTGAGTTAAAAAATATATATTTAAAAAATGTAGTTAAAAATTTTAAGTATTTGATATTATTTACAAAATATTTTGAGTAATTGAAATATCTAAAAAAATATGTATAAAATATTAAAATATTAAAAATATAGAGATAATAAAATAATTTTTTATTCTAAATACATATTTTCACTTCAAAAGCAGATCTCGAAGAGTTTTTTTTTTTTTTTTCATTTGATTGAAAATTCATATTTCTAATTAAAAAAATTAAAATTTTTTTATAAATTTATCACCATTTTTTATAAATAAATACACTTAAAAAAATCTTGAATCCTTTATTATTCATTTATATTATCTCCTCCAAACTAAATGAAGGCAGATAATTAATTAAAAAATATCATATTCAAAGAAGTTGACATTTTTTAAGTATAAAATAAATAGTGATCTATATAGGAAAAACAGTCTAACCAAATTTTGACTAAATCCGATCTCTTTTAAAGTTATTTTTTTTTAAAATTAAGTATTGAGTAAGATTGAATTGAATAATAATAAAAAGAAAATAAAGATTGGATCGGGATTAAATTTTAGATAAATTTGACTTAATTCGATATATATAAAAAAATTATTTTTTAAAATTTATATTTATATATTTATTTAATTTTATATTTATATTAAAAAAATAATATTTTATTAATTTTATGTCGGTTTGATCGGATATGATTTTATACAATATCAAATATGATCGGATTTAGATATAAAAAATATAAAAAATCATCAAATTGGATCGATTCTAGTATTATATATATATATATAATTAAATCGAGTTTGAAACGAGTAAAAATTCGTCTTGATTTGATCTGTTATTAATTTTAGCTCTATGATTTAAGATATGAAAAAAAGAAATAAAGTATTAAAATTAAAATCATAAATATTTTAAATGACACTTCTTAAAAATAAAAGTACAAATCAAGTGAACTCAATTAAACTTCAAATTCGTATTATTTTGAGATTTTGAGGATTATCAAAACATTCTAGTTGAAAAGCATTTGTTTGTCCCATCGGTAACAGGAAATAAACTCGTAGTTGCCCCTTAACCAATGTAAAATTAAAACTAGAAAACTGATGACTAAACTTTTATATATCGGATAATCAGGACTGATGGCAACTAAACCGCCTGTTTTGGGGAACAAATGGCAAAGAAAATGACACTCTCTCAACCAAAACAACATAAGCTGTGGCTGTTTCATTGATTTAGTGAAACAATAAATAGTAGTAATTAGATCAGATTTCATACGCAAAAAGAACAGGCTCATTTCTCGATCCTATTCTTACACATTCAGTCTTCACTCTGTTAAACCGACACAACTCGATGATCTTGTCTTGTTTTTCTACACCAATGAGTTAAGCAAACAACAGAACAATGTTTCCCGTTTCATTAGTTGGTTCAGCACAGTCTGATCTTGATCTATGCCTTTGCTTTGCTTGTCTCCCTGTCTGTGCATGCCCAAAGTTTGTCCTTCTTACTTTGATTTCTTTTCATGGTTTTTTGTTTTTTTGGTTTGTTTTGTTTTTTAACACACTGAAATTTCGATGCAGTAGATAAAAAATCCCAGACATGGTTAGGCTCAGCTTCGTCAAACTGAAGAACATTTGAATGTCAACAGATCTGATTTTCCTAGTGATTTTTGTTTTTGGAGCATCGACTGCTGCTGCTCAGGTAAGCTAAATCTTAAGTCAGACCTGATAATTTATATATTTGTGTCTGTAAATATTGATAATTTGTGTGTAACGTGTTCACACAAAAACATGAATTATATTTTTTTATTTTGTTAAATCTATTTATGTTTTTTTTTTTTTTAATTTTAAACTTTATCATTTTAATTTATGTCTTTTATTATCATATTATATTTTAGATTGTCAGATATAATAATATTAATCTTTAAATTTTCGAATGTATCATCTATATTTAGGTTTTAATTTTTCATTGGAATAAAAAATATTAACAATATATAAGAAAAGACACATCTAAACATGAATACTATTAAAAAAAATTAACATCTAAGACTGTATATGGCCTCATTTGGATTTCACTAATTCAGGGTGCTTTCCATTTCCCTCCAGTCTCCAACTGAAGAAGGGCATAAGTTCCCTTGGACCCTAGGACAGTCAAACTGTCATGCCCAAATTCACCGTTGTTATTATGTTTATATCCAAATACATATTCATAATTTATTTTAATCTCACCGCCACCAACGATTTCAATGTCATCACGCATTCAAATGATCTAAGTCTCTGGCTCTTTGCAACTTGTAATAAGTGTGACTGATGGTCACTGATCTATCATTAATTTGCTTTCTCTTCTCAGGAAGGATTTCGAGAACAATGCTGAAATTTGTTTTAAAACATTTGGAGATCGGGTTAAAAGTTGGATTACCATAAATGAACCACTGGTTATTGCTAAATTTGGGTACACCATAGGAGTGGCTCCACCAGGCAGATGTTCTGATAGAACAACATGTCCTGCTGGTAATGCAGCCACTGAACCTTACATTGCTGGCCATAACCTTCTTCTTGCCCATGCAACGGTTGCCAGCTTTTACGAGTACCAGTACCAGGTAACCAAGCCATAGATTGCCCTATGCTGGTTAATTTTAGGACCATGTGCTGTCAGATTATAGGCTATTATGTTTATTAATTGCTGAATTTGGTTCGCTAGGCAGCACAAGGGGGACATATCGAAATGAGCCATGCAGGACTGTATTATAAGCCCTATTCAGACACATTGTTTGATAGAGTTGCAGCAAAAAGAGCCATGGATTTCGAGTTGGGATGGTTAGTAAAATCACTCTCTAATGAACAATTTCTCAAGTAATTGTTCATGAAAATCCAACTAACACTCACAAAACCAACGATGAATGCATTGTTGCCCTGTTGGTGTGGCTTCCAGGTTTATGGAACCGCTGGTGCGAGGAAAATACCCACTAAGCATGAGACGATTGGTGAAGGATAGGCTATCCATTTTCACCGAAAAAGAGAAAAAGTTGGTCAAAGGGTCATTTGATTTCATTGGCATCAACTACTATACCTCCAGATTTGTTAAGAACATTCCAGTTAATCCCAAACCTGCACCAGTCAGTTTCTTGGCAGATGAACATGCCAATTCCACAGGTAATCTTAAATTCAATTTTTCAAGAATACATGTGGTATCCATTAGGTCTGAAATTCAAATCCCAACGCTTACACTCCCTTCTCCTATCCCGAATGCTGCCTATTTTGTAAAATAAAGAAAAATCTTATTGCTGTGTTGTTCTGGCAGTGGTCAAAGATAGAGTTCCTGTTGGACCAAAAGCTGGGGGCAGCTGGTTCATTTACATATATCCCAAAGGGCTGTACAAAATTTTGAAGTTTATGCAGAAACACTATGATAGAAACATTACAATTACTGAGAATGGTTTGGAAACTTGTTTCCAATGCTTCATTTCTATTGAATTCCTAGATACCTTTTTTTCAAAATTTTGTGATTGCTACTTACTCTTCATAATCATTTCGTATAGGTGTTACAGAGAAAAAAAACGATAGCATTCCAATTCATCAGGCGCTATACGATCAACATAGAATTGAATTCATTCAGAAACATTTGCAACAAATCAGCAAGGCAATCAAGTAAGCATTATTCTAATCATCTAATGCTTTTGCATAGATTTGTGCTTTTAAATATGAGAAATTATCGCATCCATTGATGGTGTAGGTTAGGAGGGTGACAGAAACTTATTAACGTGCTTTATTTATGTTAATTTGCTTATCACGCAGCAATGGTGTGAATGTGAAAGGATATTTCTATTGGAGTTTATTTGATGACTTTGAATGGTCAGAAGGCTATGGCGTCCGATATGGACTTTACCACATTGATTACAAGAACAACCTCAAGCGCATACCCAAGAAATCTGCTAAATGGTACCATGATTTTGTCACAGGTGACAGAAAGCAAGCATGCTAAAGATTAATCTCTTGATCTGCAATTTATGAGCAAATTTTGATGGACATGGTCTCGAATCTCAAATTTTGCTGAGCCTCAAGATAAAGCATTCCAATATGAATTTCTTTGACAAACCAATCTGATCTCTTTCAAAAGTATTTAAGAAAGAATATATACTGCCATAGAAGCAATTATTTTAACCGGAAAAGAACAGTTTTTATGATGATTGTCACCTTTCCTGGAAAAGATAGATCAAAAACACAAATGGAAAACAGGATTCTTTGATAAAAAATGGACAAGATGGAAAACAGGTTCATGCTCTTAACAGAACAGCAAAGATTGAATGGCTCAGCTAGTCACTGCCAGAGACCATGAAAAATAGAATGAAGAAAATGCTATACAGGATTCTAATGTAAAGAAAAAAACAACAAATGGTTTTCCGATGGTCATCGAAGGATATGAAGCACCTAAAAATGAGTGGTACCTTTGCACCTTCGGTTTCTAGAGCATATCACTTATAATTATTATATTATAATTAATTAGTCATAATTTAAATTTAGATAGAGACCCCGCATTTATAAGTAATGGTCTCAATATAATTATTTATTATAATTGAATAATTGTAGAATTATAATAAAAAAAATTATAAGTGAAATGTTACCTTTTTTTTTTTTTTATAGATGTAATCTTAACATTAACTCTTCTGATTTTTTTCGAACCTGAATTTTATAGAAACTTTATTTCTAGCTATTCACAATTTTCATTAACACGTTAAGAATGTAAGATGCAATTCTGAATCCAAAAGAAAATTGATGTGACTTGCACATGAATTTCCTCAAATGAGAAGAGAAATCCATCCCTAAATCCATCCTTATCAGACAAGCTTGTAAAGTCCTGGAACTATAGTAACGGGAATGGAGAACAAGAACAACAAGAAAACAAACAAAAAAAAAAAGCTTCGGATTCGTTTTTACAAAAAAAATTGTAGTACGAAGATAAAGAAAAAATTTAAGTCCTGGAATTTGATTAATAAAATAGTTTCAAAATCCTTTATGTTTTCACTATTTACAAGCTAAATAAAATTACATTTGGTGTTACTTATGCGTAAAGTTACTTTAGGTTCGAAAATGATGTGACATTTTAATTTTATATCAAAATAATTTGATATTTCATTATAATATATATATAAAGATTTAAATTTAATCTTATAAGATATATTTTATAAAATAAAATTATGTATGTTTTAAATTAAAACAAATAATATTTTTTATGTTAAATACGAATCTTCACGGACACGAAAACTTGTGAAAAAAAATCATGCACAAAAAAAAATTTAGCATGAGATTAGGGAAGGCAAAAACACCCGAACCCGTCGGGTTTCGACCCGACCCGATAGCTTAGGGTCGATTTTTTTTTTTTGAAAATCGGGTATCGGTTTGAGTCGGGGTTAGATAAGGTAAAAAATTTTCGGGGTCGAATCAGGGTCGGGTTTTAGGCAAACCCGACCCTACCCGACCCGATATATATAAAAAAAATTATTTTTTAATTTTATATTTAATTATATATATTTATATATATTTAATTTTATATTTATATTTAAAATAATATTTTATTAATTTCGGGTCGAATCGAGTCGAATTTAATTTTATATAATGTCGGATCGGGTCGGGTTTGAGTATTAAAAATAAAAAAAAATTATCGAATTGAGTACGAATTCGAATATTATATATTTAAAATCGGATCGAGTTCGGGATGAGCAAAAACCCGTCCCATCTCGACCCGTTACCATCACTACATGAAATGCTTATCAAGAAATTTTTTTTTCACAGTTGGGTCCACTAAACTTTTTTAATGACCTATAATCTTTCAAGTCCAATTAAGCATCACATTTTATTTTACAAATAAAGACCGAAGACTTGAAACAAAAATTAATAAAAAAAAATTGTAAATATTGGGATCAAATGTCAACTTTGTTTTAATTTTTTTTTTAAATGAGTAGACATTTAGATTAAACTCGAATCTTATAAGTTAAGATATAAAATAAAAATGGATCAACAATTGTTTTTAAAAAGATTTTTTATATGAATAAAGAAATTATAAAAAAAAATTTATTCTAAGCTAAAGATAAAGTTATTCTCCCTAGGCTTAATGTCAAATCGGAATAATATCAAGCATAAAACTTTATAAATTATTATCTTATATAACATCTGTATGTTTTAAAACTATATGTTTTTAACTTTTACTAGTAAAATTAAAAATTTTCATATATTTTTTAAAATATATTTTTTAAAAAATTTCAAGTTATACAATATAATTTTTTTAATTTTATATTTTTTTAAAGAATTAATTTCAATAAATCTAAACGATAGAATTAATTTTTTTTGTATTTGTTTCTCTTATTTTTTGAATTTATTAAAATTAAGAGTTAAAAAAAATGTAAAATTTTAAAAAAATTATACTGTATAAGTCGATCTCTTTTGATTAAAAAATTGATATAATATAAATTATATATTAATATTCTAATTTTGTTTATAAAATTTAAAAATTTTAAGAAGGTATAAAATAATAGATAAATACATGTTTATAAATAGAAAATTAAAAAAATGTGAAATTTAATTAGTTCATTTATATAGTTATTTTTAAAAATAATAAAAAAAATCTAAAAATCAAAATTTAATATCTACAAATATTTTTTTTTAGGAACAATATCTATTTTTCTATTCTAAACAACGGCTTCTTCACATAAAAAATTTGAAAGAAAAAATGAATATGGTCCAAAACAGACATGGATTCCTAGGAATTTGTAAATTTGACGCATGAATTACAGGGGAAACGGAATACTATTTATACACTGGAAATGTTTGGGAAAACAAAATACCAAGAAACGAAGTAAAGCAAAGCTAAGATCGAACTTCGAAGCGAAAGAAACTAGGAGGCATGGCGGATAGTGAAGTGAGCTCCGTCGTGTTTGATCTTATCAACTTCTTAAACGTTTCTCCTACTGCTTTTCACGCCGTTGGTAGTCTTCTTTTTTGTTTTCTTATCCATTTTGTATCCTTTCTCTTTGGTGGAAGTTAACAGATTTGTGTTATTTCAATCAAACTAATTTGCTATTATAATACGAATATTTAATTTTTAATTGGATTTTCACTGAATAATTTTTGTTTTTTAATCACAGATGAGGCAAAGAAACGGCTGCAAAAGGTTGGTTATGAGCAACTATTGGAGAGAGAAGATTGGAAATTGGAAGCAGGGAAGAGATACTTTTTCACCAGGAACCATTCAACCATTGTTGCTTTTGCTATTGGTAAAAGGTATGATTTTTTTCATTAGAAACAAAAATAGAAGCTCAGTTCTTTACTTTGTAGTTTTGTTTGGTTGGCAGGAAAATGTAAAGTAAAAATGGAAGTCAATTTGTGACAAAGTTAAAACTTTTTTTGTTATTATGAGCTTGAGAAGATCACTGGTCTGACTATGGGGGGAGGGGGATTCTGTTTCTTGTCAATTGATATATAAAAAGGTTGAAAGTTTATATTTTTATTGTGATTAGATGATGTTTTAGTTGTTTATAAATTAATATTTTTATGCTTAGATATGTTGCTGGAAATGGATTCCATATAGTTGGTGCGCATACTGACAGCCCTTGTCTAAAGTTGAAGCCTGTTTCCAAGGTGATTTTTTTTCTATCATTAAAATAAAATGTTACAGCGATAATTTATAATTGAAAAAAAAAACTTCCTGGGATTGATCAGGTAATAAAAGGCGGTTATCTGGAGGTTGGTGTGCAAACATATGGAGGTGGTTTGTGGCATACATGGTTTGATCGTGACTTGGGAGTTGCAGGAAGGGTGATGATAAAAGAGGAGAAGGGTGGTTCTGTTTCCTATTTACATCGACTAGTTAGAATCGAGGAGCCTATAATGCGTGTCCCTACCCTGGCTATTCACTTAGACAGGTGGCCTTGCTAGATGAATTCTCCAAGTACTTTGTGCTTGTAATTGGCTTAGATATCTGCCTTGTTGGATTTAACTCACTTTGCACATTGATGAGTTTGAATTCTCCCTCTTTCTCTGTTTGTGTTGTAGTTATAAATTTACTTTTTTTTTTTTGGTACGACTTGTGTGTAGGGGTGTTAATGATGGATTCACCGTGAACACACAGAGTCATCTTTTACCTATCCTGGCAACATCAATTAAGGTAATTTTGGATCCATGAATTATTACATGTTATCTTTTCCAGATTGTAGTTATGTCATTCATCAATTCCAGTTCTTACAAGGCTAAGTTTATGTACTATCTTGACGCTGTCTCAACCACACTAAAACAGTTTAAAAATGTTATTCCAGTGAAAGGGGTAAAGGCTTTTTTATGTTTACTTTTGATGATTTGATAACTGCTTCTCAGTTGTATGTTGCTTCATGTACATAAATAATAATTTACGATTCCTATGACTTTTGCAAGATTTAGTAATTCATTCATATTGTTACAGAAACCAGAATCACATCGGAATGTTAGTCTTGAACAAAATCTTGATAACACCAATCATATAATTTGTTCGAGTCTAACACGCTGGTTCTTCAGCTTGGACAATTCATGATTGTTTTACTATTCGTAATGCAAGTGTTTAATTGTTGACAAAGAATAGCTTAAGCTTGCTCAAATGTTACTTATTTTTAAAATGACTGAATAGATCATCAAATTTTCTGTATGTTTCTTTTTTCCTCAAGATTAAGTTTGCTTTTCCTTTTTTCTCCTTTCAATCTGTTGAACTGCATTTCACAGGCAGAGCTCAATAGAGAGGTTGCTGAAAATGGTCCAGCTGAAAAGATAACTAACAACTCAAGCCATCACTCACTTCTGCTGCAGGTTTAATGATTTTTGAACCCTAGCATTTTATTAAGTGCAATAAGCTACAGTGTTGCAACTCTCTTTGTAAAAAAAATAAATTGCTTTACTTTTCTTGTATCTAGATGATTGCAAATAAGCTTGGCTGTCAACCAGATCAAATATGTGATTTTGAATTGCAAGCTTGTGATACTCAACCAAGTATTGTAGCAGGCGCTACAAAGGAATTTATCTTTTCAGGAAGGCTTGACAATCTTTGCATGTCATTTTGCTCTCTGAAGGTATGGAAGGCTAAGCCTCTGTTGCAAATAGATCGTTATTTCTCTTCTGGTAAATAAGGCTATCTTGTACCTAGTGATAGTATGCATCATTTTCCATTACATCTGTCTTGGCTTTAAATTTAGTTTTAAGGACTAGTGACGGTTTGGTGTTTGTATGCCTTATTTGCTACATGAGGCTCAGCTGTTCACAACCATATCCTTAGCCTGCTAATCACTTCTGATGTTAAACTTCTAGAATCATATAATCCAATTAAATTCAATTGCCAAGGCAACTTTTTTGTAACTAAATACATTTGAAATTTCCTTCATTTTAGTGGCCTATCCCTTGTTTTGCAACTGGAACCTTCATGATATGATATTCCATCCAATTTGGTATCAATTCCCCTTACTGGCTGAGAGGGAAAAGAGGAATGCAAAATTTTTCTCATGTCAATTTCCTGTGGTTATTCCCTTTTGTTTTAAAATATAATTTCATTCCAGGCATTGATCGATGCTACATCTTCCGAAAGTGACCTTGAAGATGAGAGTGGTGTTAGAATGGTGGCATTGTTTGATCATGAGGAGGTTGGATCTAATTCAGCACAAGGAGCTGGTTCTCCTGTAATGTTAGATGCTCTATCACGAATAACGAATTCCTTCACCTCAGATTCTAAGGTGTTTACTGCTCCATGTCTATTTTCTGAATCTGCTTCTATTCAATTAGCTTGTCTGATTAATGTTAGGCTAATATTTAAGTGAGTTTTAGCTGTATGAACTGGTCTAGCTTGAGTTATGTGCAGTTCACTGTTTGTGACGTCTAAAAAATTTCTTTGTTCACCAATAAAGATGGCATCCGGATAATGTTCTTTTAAAAAATAAAAAATTGAAAATCAGAAGCACTTGCATTTCATGACACCATTTGTTTTCCTTTTACCAATGAAGACCATGATAGTATTTTTGTAAAGATTTAACTTACATGCTGTGATGCCACTTTCTGAAGAAGCACTTTCAGACACGATAAATTTGCAAGTATACTTCTGAATGCTGTTGTCAGTAAAATTAACAAGATTGTCTATAATGCTGGTGTTGCAATTCCTAGAAAAAATTTGAATTTCTTTTGTCTCTTTATTCCTATATCAAAAACCCCAATCAAAGGAGTTGCTGTGTTTTCTGAGCTCATCTTCTAGGATGACACTAATCACTCGCCATACAAGATTTGCCCCTTTGATAGAAGTCAGCAAATATCTGAGCACATAGATTGCCATAACCACCCACCTGCCATTTGTCTACAAACTTAATAATTGTGCTTTCATTAAAAAAAATCATCCTGTTGTTGACTTTTTGTTGCATTATTTCTTTTCAGATGCTAACAAAAGCAATTCAGCGAAGTTTCCTTGTTTCTGCTGACATGGCACATGCCCTGCACCCGAATTATATGGTATGTTGTTGCAGATTAGTCATAACTTGCATTTGCCGATAACTTTTGGTTACATTGTGTTATCCACAGGATAGACATGAAGAAAACCATAAGCCTAAGTTGCATGGGGGACTCGTTATCAAACACAATGCAAACCAACGTTATGCAACCAATGCAGTCACTTCTTTCATATTCAAGGAAATAGCAATAAAGCATAGCCTTCCTGTTCAGGTCAGTTCCATCCTTTAACCATATAGTTGCTACAAGTTCTTTGATGTACAAATTCTACTGAGAAAGGAAGCATCATTTCATGTGTTTTAAAACGTTTATTCTTATAAGAGCCATTGATCTTTAGGAATTGAATCAGTAATAATAATCTTGTTTCTTTAAATAAAACTGAGCATAGGAGGAGACCTTTTGCTGAAAGTAAGATATTTATTCTGTCCTCGATATACCTTTTTAAGGAAACAAAAGAAGCTTATATCAGCAATGGCGGATCCAAGATTTTTTTTCGAGGGTGTCTGCTTATAATATAAATAAAAAACTATCCATAAATTTATCAATTTTATAAACGGAAATGGTGTCTAAGAGAAAATTTTTGAGGTATCCAATGGAAAATTTTCTTTAAAATTTTTTTTCTTCTTGTTTTCCAATCTTTGAAAGTATCCATGAACATTTGGATCCGCCACTGTATATCAGTGCTTTGTAATCACAAATCGATTCATGAATTGCTTGTGCTTCTCAAGGAAGATGTTGTCGCATCATGTTCTATCTGAAGATGGCGCAGAAAGGAAATGCTTTTCTGTTACAACTGTTCGATGGATGAACTGATTATTTCGGAAAATTCTGTAAATGCAGGATTTTGTGGTGCGGAATGATATGCCTTGTGGCTCGACCATTGGTCCTATCCTGGCAAGTGGTGTGGGGATCCGAACGGTAGATGTTGGTGCTCCCCAATTATCAATGCACAGTATACGCGAAATGTGTGCTGTTGATGATGTGAAGCATTCATATGAGCATTTCAAGGCCTTCTTCCAAGAATTCTCAAATCTTGATACCAGCATTACAGTTGACATGTAGATCCACTCTCATCTTTGGTGGGGAACATGCAATATTAGTATTCAGGTTCTTGCTCAAAATGCCATGCAACCATGACTACGATGTGGGATTGTAATATTTTTCCGGATCTACAATTGTATGGTGGCTTGTTAAAGGGTTCTGTCAGTGGTTTATGATCCCATACCTAACAATAAGGTTGCAGATGGGTTAGATGTGTAATGTTTTTCTGTTGCAATAACAATATCCTGCCAGTCATTGGAAAACTTTGGATGGCATTGTTGAAAAGCATATAGCATCAGGCTTCAACTGTACCATGCTTTAGAGAATTCCTTTTTTCCACCTTAATGTTTGGTATCTTTTGCAAGATCACCATGATAATGTTATTATCACGGTGATCTTAATACTCGTAATTTGAAATTACTTTGTTTAATTAACAATGATCAATTCTTAAGAATTAAAGATCATTATATTTGATATTATCAAAAATCAAACATTATTTTGTGTAAAAATATGAAAATAACTATGCATATTGTAATAGTTATACAAATTAATATTTTTAAGGTTGTTTATAAATAATAATTTATAAAATATTAGTAATATTTATTTATTTTACAATAAAATATTATGAAATTATTAAATTAATAAACATATTTATTGATAAGTAAATTGATTTTATAATATAAATTATGTACAATATATTTGAATTAGAAAATAAAATCAATCTATTAAATTCATAATAAAAGAAAAATAAATAATATATATTATATATAAAAGATTGAAAAAAAAAAAATGTAACTTATTTTAAACTTGTTATAATGAATATTAGTTTGAAAATATAAAAATTTATAATATAAAATAATTACAATTTAAGTAGCAACAACTTTTTAATTCACATATTAAATGAGTAAAATTGAATATTGTTAATTTTACATATTACTTTATCTCGGTGATAAAAGTTTCTACCTTTTTGTATAGGAATTACATCACTTCCAAAGTAGTGATTTAATTACTCTCGGTGATCCAAAATGACCGCCATATAAGATCACCAAGTACTTACCAAACACAATAATCTAATTACCATGTGTCGATTATTATGATTTTTGAAGTGATCACCCCATACTAAACACTATCTAAAAGAAATACACACCCCGAGTATTTCCACCACCCAATTTTCAGATGAATGGAAAGTAGAGAGCTGGGAAATAGCATCCCTAAACATTTTGATTTGCAAGGGAAGAAACAAAGCACATTTCAGATTAAAATATCCAAAAATGATTTGTTGTCAATCTATAGTATCAGTATTTAAGTATAAGAATCCTCATCAATACTTGAACAGACAATGGCCGACGTTTGGGAGATAAATAATGGATCAGAGTATCGAAATTTGTAACCCAAAACATGAGCAAAAGAAAATTCTCCAAAAAAAAAAAAAAAGGAAGGTTCTTTTTCTGTAAGTTAAGAGAACCAACATTCATGAGTCGAAAGCACTTTCGAAACTTCATCCCCACTGAGGTTTGATCATGAAAGTACCTTTTTAACATCATCTGTTACCTCTTTCGGAGACTTCTCCGCATGAAGCTTTGCAACTATGCCTTCTTGGAGTAATAATCGATCACCTACGTTTCAAACAACACCATTAAAAATGTTAATAACAACTCAGAAAATATCATAAAAGGTAAGATTCAAGCCACATGGTAAATGGTAAATTTGTCTCTTACATAACCATTTTACTTCCCTTTTAGTAAAATGCCTTGCACCTATTATAGTAACTCTCTAATTCCAAATAACTTGGCAATTTTGATACTAAAAAGATTGGGGATCTTTCATATTTTGCACAGAAATGACAGAAAGCATACCGGTTCAGTTTGCTTGTGAAATGCCTCTAGCCTTGACTTGAGAACAGCTGCAGTATCATCTTTACGCTGAATCAAAGGTTCCCCAGTCACCTTGAAGAGAACATAAACAAGGAAACAAGGTTGTTAACATAACTGCAACTAGTTCTTCGAAAAAATGGTGATGCAGCTTATATAGAGGTTTCTGGATTGACATACAAATAAAGCACCAAGGAATTTGCATTATATTATGGCACGTAAAGTGTCTTATGATAAATTGTTTAATTTACCACTTTACTTCATCAACTGGTGAAAAAGGTAAAAAGGCTGTATCCAGATCCTTGGCAACCAAATTTGAATTTGTGTGACAAACAGAAGTAAAATGAGGATTATAATGTCCGACTTACATCATCAATGCCAGGAACTTTAGGCGGTGCAAATTTTGTATGGTAGGTCCTACCACTAGCAGGGTGGATCCAGCGACCAGTAATCCTCTCCTCCAAGATCGCATCATCAATTGCAAAATCGAGCACCTTATCGATTTTAGCTCCTTGCTTTTCAAGCATTTCATCAAGCTGCAAATCAAAGATCAAGGACGCATAATTAGAGTGACGGGCTTAAAAATTTTAAAAACTCAAAGGTTTTGCAGGGAGGAGAGTGAGAGCATAAAGATTCTAAAGAAGGTAACACCTTCTGTGCTTGGACTACAGTCCTTGGAAATCCATCAAGAATGAAACCTTTTTGACATGAAGGTTTCTTCATCGCTTCATCGATAATGCCAACGACCAGGTCATCAGAAACAAGTTCTCCCTGAAAAACAATCGCAAAATACCTCATTAGTCATTAGCAACCTAGTAACAGCCATCAAAAATCCAGACAGATGGAGGAAACGAATTTTACCTTATCCATAGCCTCCTTGGCCTTGATACCAAGTGGGGTTTTAGCAGCAACAGCAGCTCTTAGCATATCACCAGTGGCCAAGTGACACAAGCAGTACTCATCCTTAATCATTGGTGATTGAGTACCTTTTCCTGATCCAGGTGGACCTGCCAATCATAAGATTTCACAATAATTAGAAACAAGCCATCATTCTACCAAATGATAAACAATATACAAATATACCGATAGTAATGAAAAGAATGCTAATAGAACACAGTGCGTTTTTGAAATGCTTCAACCAATTGTGCAACTTCTACATGATACAGGCCGTCAACAATAAATATAAAAACCAAACTTTAGTATCTTTCCATCCCCTTTCACGCAGCACAAGTTCCAACCTGACTTTAGGTCAAAGAGTTAGTTTGTTTAAAATACTAAGGCAGGAAAAGGAAAAGGAAAGTCCAGAGCCTATGCAAGCAAGATGTGTAATTTGCATTAGGCGATCGTCGGGACATTGCTGCGTGGTACTCTAGCACTAAAGAATACTCATTTCTTATTAGGTCATGGACAAGGGGCATTAATAGTTAGTCTTCCAAAATCTATTACTTCTTATGCATGGCAAAAGGTGAATGCAGAAGGAATATATAAATTCAAATTGGCATGAAAATCCATTTCATTTTGTTGAAAAGAAAATATGGACTAGGCATTGTTGTAACAACCATACAAAGATGAAACGTATAAAAATAAATCTATGTCTTTACAAAGTAATAGTAGGAACCACAAAAAAAAAAAAAAAAACCCAGTAACTCACTGTTCTTGATCTAGTGTTTGCTCAGGGAAAGATACATTTTTGTCTCTAAAAAACTAAAATTTCTGAAAATAAAAATTTCACGATTCTCTCTAAACGAATAAAAAAAAAAAAATCTGAAACAAACCAACCTCAACGAACTCTCGGATCTGAAAGCCCACGTTGATTCTCAACAAAATACAGTTCCAAAACTTTGCAGAGGAAGAATAAAAAATCAATCCAAAACAATGAGAGTTCAAAGCAAAATCCAAAGCAAGAGAGAGAGAGAGAGAGAGAGAGAGAGGGTGTACCAATGAGGATGAGGCGCTTCTCGGGTTTGGAGGCGCATTTCATACGGCGAAGAAGCTCACTCATCAGTGATTCGGATGGTACATCTTCCAAGTTGACCGAACTGCTCGCCATTGGAACTAGTTTTTTCGTTTTTGTTTAGAAGGGTTTTGCTTTGGGTTTTAACAGAAGTTAGAAGAAGAAAAGGAAAGGTTGGTTGGGATTCATTTAAGATTGGTTTTTAAGGTTGTTTATTTCGGTTTGGTTCGGTTGGGACTTCCGAGCCACCGATGCTTCAAACTCAAGCAGCGGTCGGTCTTTCCAGCTAGTTCTAAAGTTACTGTTTTGCCCATCTTCTTTTACAATTCTTCCCAAAGTTCCCAACTTTATTTTCTTTTCTAATGTTATTCTCCCCCTTTTTCATTTCTATTGTTTTCAATCCATCTTCTAAGGCAATTTCCACCAAACAAAAATTATTTCATAATGTCATTGTCGTTAATATGCAAATATTTAAGGGTATAAACAAGCAACACATTCGACTGAATAACATTTTGAAAGTTTTTTTTTTTAATTTATTAATTAAATAAATAAAATATGAATAAAAAAATTTATTTATATTCAACTCACTTATACTTTAATCACGAATATTATAAAATTTATTTAAATTTAATTCATTTACATTCAAAAGTATAAATAAATAAAATATCAACTTCGATCTATATTCATTAATTAAACAAAATGATCACAAACATTTTAAAATTGTTTATAATGGGTTAATTAATACCAGAAACAACCAAAAAGAAAGCCAAATTTTAGACAAGATACAAAAACATCCTCAAATCTAGCATAAAGTTCAACAATTGTCTAATTTCTCAGGCACCTAAATTCATTCATAAGACAAAGAAAGTTATATAACAAAAAAGGAAAAATGCATATAACCATTTCTACAACTAACAATACTTAAAAACACTATCAGCTTGGATTAGACAAAATTTAGCAAATTGTGATAGATTCACTCAAGGGATTTCTTCTTTTTCTTTTTAGTTTCAGTTGCAGCTCCTTCATCTTTACTCTTCTTTTTCTTCTTCTTGGCAGTTCTGTCCTGCTCGGCGACAACCCCATTTTCGCCGTTTGTTTTCTCCTCTTCCTGATCCTGCTCTTGCTCCATCTTTCTTTTCTCTTTTTTCTTTTTCTGCTCTGATTTAGCATCCTCTGAAGCACCTTCATTTGTAGCAGCAGCAGCAGTTGGAGTGTCTTCAGTTTTTGATTTCTTGTTCTTGCTTTTCTTTGCAGGAGCTTCACCATGTTGTGCTTCACCCGTTTCCACATCTGTGTAACAAATGGTAAAAGATAAAAATTGTAAATAGACATATCATGTTAACTGCAGTAAAATAATACATAGGCAGAAAATGCAGGCATGCCAAACTTCCATCTCTTGCACCAAACATCCTCTTAAAATGAGACGCCAAATACTTGAAATTGCACAAAAAGAAAAGGAGTCACAGCTCCGTGTACCTTTGTTCTGAGAACTTTCAATTGCCGACTTCATAACATCAATGTTTTTTCGAGGTGCAACACCCTTGTCATAGAATTCAAGTCGTTCCTCCACTTGTTCCCTCAGTTTCTCCCCAAAAACAGTGGTGCCCCTCTCTGCAAACGAATAGAGAATTGATTGACTTAGTGGGAAAACTACACTGTATGAGGAAAGAACAATAATGATTACCTGCAAAACAATCTATACAAGATGCAATGGAACACTTGTTTGCAAGATAGTGTGCCATTCGGCCCTTGTTTCTTGTAGATGCTCAACCAATGAAAGATGAATGGAAAATTAGACCATACTTAGGTGTGTTTCCCCATGTTTTTAGTGCCCTGAAGCCAGCAAGCAATGAGTGAAACCAATGCCTTAAAACTAAGGATAAGAAAATTGTCAACAAAAAAGAAGTATTTAAATAATGCACTGGGATTAGTACTCAAGATCTCAAGCAAGACACAAATCAAAGTCTGCTCGAAGAGGGGCCTATATTTTAGCAAGTTCAGCTCTCCATACACTTCACAACTCTACCATGTCATAAGAGAATAAGGTAAGATATAAAACACCTGAAGAGGGCCTTCTCTGCGCCAAGAATCTGAAGAGTGGAAGAGGGGCACTTAGCCAAATTCGTGAGACTTCTAGCATGAGAAATCAATCGGGCGCCAACAACTTCCCCAATCAATGATGCTAAATTTGGTGCAATGTCATTCATCTTAGTCACTAGATAATCATAAAGATTCTTTCTGTACTCAACAAGATCCATTACCCTCTGAGTAAATAGCTGAACATGAATCAAATCAACTGGGGTCAAATCCTGTCCTGCAAAGGAGGAGAAACAAAACCAGTGAATGGGGGTATGAGAAAATAAGGGTGAATTGCAGAACAAGCACAAGATATCTACCCATTGATGCTTTGCCAGCTTCTACAATTTCTTTTGCTTTTTCCTCATCCCCAAGTATCTCAGTTAAGGCAGGGATATGTTCTTCAGACAACTTTGACTTATCCTCTATAAGCTTTGCAACTCTAGCATAGAGATAATTGTCATTGACGATCTTTACCAACTCAAGGAAATGCAAAGAGTACCATTCCCTGCAGGAGGTAATCAACCAGAGGATAAGTGTCAAATAAAATCCATGCCTGTGAATAACAAATCCACTGACTATGGTCATGCATTAACCTAAAAAGATGCTGGTTTCTGGGGTAAAGTAATAACAAACCTCACTCTCATGGAAAAGTAATTAATATCCTTGTCAAGAGTATCAAGAAGGAAAATTGCTTGAATAACCGTATTGTCAACTCGGTTGACATTGACGTTAACCTTTGCTCTGCTGTAACTGTGTGCCAGACCAAGCTGAGCATTTTCTAAGTCCCCAGGCTAAGAAGTTTTAAGAAGAAACAGGAAGAGAGAGAAAAGCAAATGAGAATAACACACACTTTTAGCTGTCTTCTTGAAAGAGAAAATAAAGGTAAAACATAAAGAAATATGCAAACCTTTAGGTCCTTGATAAACTTATCAAAATGCAATTTCACACGACGAAGAAGCTCAAGAACAAACTCTCCACTCTGGCATGTAATGTTAGTTGTCTCAGAGATGTGGGAACCAAGCTTAGGCTCTGCAACTCCCAGACTGAACTTGGACTTCTTGCCTTCCTTGACTTTAGGGAGATTCAGCTCTAAAAAACTCCTCAACTCATCATTCATAAGCCCTACCAATGAAACCAGACATAACCCAATAGTTAACCCAGCCTGAACAGCAAGCAACCTCATGGTCAAATGAGTATACACAGTTACAAATTCAATCATTATGTCTTCCTTTAGCTAGTAGTTTGAAGAGATACAAGTATACAGCAGCCAAAGGTAGTCATAAAAATATAAGGGCAGAGCAAGAATGTATAGTCCTAGCGGAAGTAAATGCTCTATTTTCATAGAACATAAAACCATAATCTACAACCACAAACAAAGTGCAGTCAGAGTGTCTGGTCCAACTATTCTAAAAGCACTCAGCAAACCTGCGCTGTTCTGCCAGTGGGCGTGACTGGAGGAAAGGGTCAGAATATAGTTTATTGAGAAGAGCCTCAACAGAAAGGAATAAGCATCCTTGGTAGACCATTGCAGCTTATGTATCCTTCGAGCTTCCTCTGACTAGCCGTATGACCAGAGAGGCTTTGGCAGAAGTACGCGATAGACAATGCCTTTTCACAGCCATGTCCATCAGATGTGGCTATATATACAGAAAGGCACACTCACTTCAGTCCACCAAATTCAAAAACCAGCAGAAATTACCTAACTCGCCAAAAGAAAAAGGCAAAGCCTTTATTTCTAGCAATTCCCAATAACATCACCAAGTAAACACAATAACTTATATAAAAAATTACTAAAACAATACAAATTTGTATTAGCAGAAACCCACATAGAAAAAACATATATCCAGAAAAGCCAAATGACCAAAACAATATTACTAAGGACAAAACAAAAGAAACCCATAGCTTAAAAACACATAATTTAGAAATAATTAAACAAAACAAAGAAAAAGTTAACCTTTTGATACCTTCAGAAACAGAGTTGCATTGTTTGAGACCATCAACAGCGGACTCAAATGGCTGAAAAGCAGTGAGTTGGACCACCTTACCGAACCTGTTCAGATCCACAACCGAATCCCTAACGGCCTGTGTGTTCTGACCGATTTCATCGAGCCCCTGAGCCTGGAACAGCGCATACCCAGAAGCTGACTCGAACAACAAGTAAAGAGCCATTGAAGAAAGGCTCCAAAACCCACTTTGTTAGCTTCAAAGTAATCAAACTTAACTCAAAAGCCTGTTTTGGGTGGGTTCGAGTTACTACGGTTTAAGGCTTTCAAGCTTTTATAGTGTTGCCACTGGCCTGCAATTCTTTTACCAAAATATGAATTAGTCCCCATTTTTTTTATTTGTTCAATTGAGTCCTTGTTAATTTGGGTTTGTTCAATTGAACCTCTGTTGAACTATACAAAGCAAATCTTGAATTTATTTAGACCTAGCAATTTGTATATTTTGTATTGTATAAAATATTAATAATTTGTGTATTTTTATTGTGTTTTATATGATAAAATATATTTTTTTGATTTTATTAAATTTATATATAATTTTTATTAAAATTTTAAATTGTATCAACTTTGTATCTTTTATTTATATCATTTTTATTATATTATATTTTAAAATACCATATCTAAATTTATTTTAGATTTGTTATTGGGTTTTATTTGTTTTTGGGCTTTTGTGTATTATGGTATTAGTTTTGTACAATTTCATTGCAAGACATGAAAGATAAAATTTACCATAGTCGAGGATTGAGGAACCATTATATTAGAGGGAATGAGGCGTTGAAACAAAACAAAATAAACTAGCAAGGAAAGGAATTAGAAAAAGGAAGAACAAGGAACATTGACCATGGATTTCGAAGGAGACTCAAAATATATGATGAAAAGTTGGAAATGAATCCGTTGGAAGACCAAACAGCCCAGCAGCATCAGCTTGATTATATATGTCACCACTCTCAAAGGAGGAGATATCCTCCCTGCACAAGCTATGGGGACTGGTCCGACCAGTTACAGAAACTGATCCTTTGTATAGTTTCAGAGTGACAGAACCAGTGGTGGTTTCAGTAATCTTCTTCATAAATGCATCCATGGACTCACGAAGTGGGTCGAACCACCTACCTGCGTAAACTAGCTCAGCATACTTGAGGGCAAGTGAATCTTTAATTTGAATGGTTTCCTGGTCAAGGGTTAGGGACTCCAGCTCACGAACAGCATTGAATAGGATGGTACCACCAGGAGTTTCATAGACTCCACGACTCTTCATACCAACAAGCCGGTTT